AAAAAAAAAAAAAAAAAAAAAAAAAAAAAAAAAAAAAAAAAAAAGAAAAGTATAATATCGCAACGAAACGATATGATATATTTGAAAGAGAAATAAACTGGAAATATAATTAACATAATCAGTGAAATTTATATAATAATACGACAGAAATTAAAAGAAACGATGAAAAGAAGTAGGAAAGACGGACAAACAGGTAGAGGAAGAAATGAAATAGAAGTGAGTGTCTTGGAGTAGTGATATCTTCAAAAAAGACAATAGTACATAAGTTTAATTATACAAGTATGAGTTTAGTTAAGAGTAAACTATTTCCCTGGCACGGCCAAGTTAGAAGTTGCATTTTTGCATAGGAACGAGGAGGGGAGGAGTGGTCTCTATGCAAAACGATAAGACAGAGAGAGAGAGAGAGAGAGAGAGAGAGAGAGAGAGAAAAGAACGTAGTTCAACTATAAATGTTTATACATATATATTTTTGCATTTATTTCCATTAAAAATTGATTATCCTTGTAAATAGTGCGATATGTCTCAGCGTTTCACACACTCCAGAAAAAAAAAAAAAAACAAACAAGTAATTAAAGAAAAAAATGGATCATATGAGGGTCTCACTTTACCTAAGCTATAATGAAGTAATTGTATAGGATTATTACGCGCTAGGCCACGTATTGTATCTGGGGGAAAATGAAAAAAAAACAGAAAAAAAAAAAGGGAAAAGAGGAAATAAGAAGAAGAAGGAGAATTATTCCAGTTATCGGACGAGAGACAACGTCTTTCTGTTTATCGAAAGCCTAAGTAGTCGACATATATTTTTTGAAAAGAAAGAAAGAAAGAAAGAAAGAAAGAAAGAAAAAAAGAGATACAAAAAAAGACACTGCATATGTTTGGCCTATTGTAAGGGAGAGAGTCTCGCGAACACACGATGACGCGTGAGGCGCAACGAGCGACGAAAAACTCGACACTGAGACATCGGTCGACGCAAGGTTGTAAGGTTTCGTTGTAAGTTTTCCATGGAAAGGTGAAGAAGATCGTTACGATCGATACGCGCCCAATTGCGGAGTTTCTTCCAATTCGACAGTCTCGAACGCCGCGAGCAGATAACGAGAAGGGAAAAGAAAGGACGAAAGGACAAAAGTGTGTCGATACTCGCTACGTTGTGTTACGATCACGTCGAGAGTTATTACGTTGAGAAAATCTACGCACATCCCCGGTATAATTCCGCTTCTAATTTGGCTCGCGTATCGCATGGATGTAAATTAAGGAATACACGTAATAAGTAAGATTGCTCCAAAGATACTCGATGATGCGGCGCCACTCCGGCATATCCAAACGCAAACACGTTCGACCCGCGATTTGTTCGCGAATGCAAACACACGAGAATCGCCGCGTAGCCATGTATGTTCCGAGCAATCGTACTTATCGTCAGGGTTATCTCGAAAGGGTCCAGGGCTGGTGAACGATAGTGTTCGATGATCAATCGCATCCTACGCTATTTTCACTCTCCACGTTCTACCACCGATCATCGATCGAACTATCGGCTCGCGAGTGGTTCGACCATCTTCGAGTTTCCCGCGCGTTAAGTAGATACACACGCGCGTAACACGGGAGAGGAACGAAATGAGGAATGAACACTTGCACACGCGGCAAAAGGAAAAGAGAGAGAGTGAGAGAGAGAGAGAGAGAGAGAGAGAGAGAGAGAGAGAGAGAGAGAGTGAGAGAGTGAGTGAGAGGAACCGGAAGAGTGTCGTTCACAGAATCAGATATATCGTATACTTTTTCCGCGCCGTTGTCATGTGTGTTTTATGCTTGAGAAACTGTTTGAAAGTTTTACGAATAATAACGTTTTTCGTAGCATGCGCTATTGTTATTTCATTAATCGAGGAGAGCAATGATTTGTTACGGTAGATTCTACAAAGCTTAAATGAAAGGAAAACTTGAAAAAAAAAAAAAAGAAAAAAAAAATGTATAAAACCGTGTATTGTTAACCGCTGCTGTTGTGTATGGAGCCGCACCGTTCGGCTTAGACTGATGATAAAATTCACGTATGCTCAATTAGAGATCATGTTTGCGCATAATTAAGAATTCTATTTACATATACATGTTTTATATTTGTAATTAACGAAAAATCATCTAATACTTAATATTACCTGATATTATTAGATTATGTAATCTCCAAAGTATTTGCTCATCAAAGTGCTAGGCATGTTAGACGGACCGATATTCGTCCAAAATGGTACCTTGGAGATGGACATACCATCTAACAGTACGATATTTGATATTTTACACAATAATTAATAATTCCGTTGATTATTCTAAGACATAGTCAATCCTAATTATACAATCATTAAGATACGAGGATATATATATATATATATATATATATATATATAAAAATTAACCGTTTTACATGTATATAATGTACATATACAAAACTTAGATAGACAAGAAAAACAAAAGAAAAGAATTGAAAGAGAAATGAAATGCATAAACGAATTAAAATATCAAATTTAAGGGGAAAAAAAAACGATCGAGAGCTTTCATAACTAGATAAATGTTCGTATCGACTTTTGATGTTTTTTCTTCGTATTCGTTTTTTCTATTCTTTCCTCTTTTTAAGAAAACGAAAGAAAAAAAAGAAATACAACATGCGACAGAAAAAAAAAAAAACAAACAACAAATGTGAAAGAAAGAAGAACGAAGATTCTCTCGTCGACGATGCTATTTCGATTATACTTATACGTCGTTCGATTATGTAATATGAGGATGTTGCGCAAGAACGGCATGAAAATTGCGACGAAACTTGCGAGTTTATCGATGAAATCGCCGAAAGTGACGCGACGAATTTTAACCGTAACGAACTTATCCGTTCCAAATTACCATTTCCACACAAGAGGCGAAGACTGGTTTATAAAAAATATGCGAGCCGAGTTTTTTGTCAGTTTTTTAATGCCACTCGAACGACCTCGACGATTTCATATTCGATCTCGATTTCTTATCCGTTCAGAACGAAAACGCGAGAAACTTTCTTAATTAAAACTGTTCTTCGATCTCGATAAATGATTTTTTGCGTTTCATTGCGAGCAGCGACTGGCGAAAAGAAATTCTCAGCCGCTCGAGAAACAAGGAAACAAAGCGACGGCTTTGAGAGACATGAAATTGTGAAATTAACAATCTTAAATTTATAAAAGATTCGATCGAAATTGATCAGGAGGCTTGCTTTGTTATAAATGAAATGAAACTATACGAAATTCGTACGTTTAACGTTAGAAATTGGCAAATCTCAAAGCGGATTTCTTGCGCGTCGAAAACGAAAAAAAAAAGAGAACAACTTATCGCGTATATCGAGCGGTACTAATGAACGATATATCGATTAAGCGTATCATCAGACATATGTTGCTTCCGTTTGTGTGCCAATGAAGGAAAAGAAATCATACATTCTTGATGTATAAATATGTGAAACTCAATGAGAACGATATTATTATTGTTACGCGGGCCGCCGTTTATGGCTAATTTTTTCTGAATCAGAATTTACGATGCAGTGTAATTCTTTGAAGCAATCATCGCTGTTCATAAGTACAACCGATTAAAAAAAGAAAGAAAGAAAAAAAAAATTAAAAATTTACCGAAGAGGGCAGGAAGATGCTCTCCGATGAAAGAAAAAAAAAAAAAAAGAAGCGAAAACAAGGACGAAAGACAGATGAGGAGAAAGAAAACCATGTAATATAAACTAAAGTACCCGGCAACTGGTACGCATTAATTACTTGTATATATACATAGTATTTTTACATTCTAATTCTAAATTACATTTCCAATTCTAAATGGTATAACATTACTCTGTGAGCTTCGCTTGTCGTCTGTGTAAATGGCCGATGATGTTACTGACATTGATTCGCCTTGACGAAGAGTCGATTCGAAGATAAATGAGTTTTCACTGCGAACAGCGAAACATGACGATGTTCGGCAAAGTATTATCTTTCTTTCTCGTGCTTGTTTCATTGCACCATCTGCACAAGATTCAATAACACACGCCTCGTGCCTTCATCGCACTTAAATTAATTAGAATGTGTAAAGTTATGGTCCCGCGTGCAGTGTTCTTAAACGTGACTATTCGCGGTCCTGTCACAGATCATCCTCAAATGGAATACGTCAAAATCGCAGCTGCATTGTGAACAAATTTGTGAAAATTTGACAGTTCAGAAATTCGAGTATCTGAAAGTCTGAGAACTTGAAAAATTCAAAAGCATCGGACAATTCGAGCCACAGTAGAAACGTTTCATTTTGAAATGGAAAGTTGTGAGATTCTTTTGTCGTGTAACATCCGCGAATATTTTCGTACGTGTGTGCATCTCACGCGACCATAAGACATATAGGATGGCAAGAAGTAAACTTGATTGTGTACGTGTACGTCGTGTCACGCAGTATTCGATGTTCATACGCGTAATTTAACTTCTATTTAAAAAACAATGCTCATAGCGGATGTGATCGTATCTCTCCGAATATAATGTCACGACGTATGAAAGCTAGAAAAGACGCTCACCGAATAATACTACTTCGCGCGCATCTTTAGCCATTAATCTAACACGATAACATCACCCCGTACGGCTTAATATAATTTGAATATTTCCTATTTTCTCTGAGGAGAAGGAACTTCGCCAGAATTCGTCGTGTCGATTCGTTTCTTTGTCTCTTCCTTTCTTCTCTCTCTTTTTTTTTTTTTTTTTTTTTTTTTTTTTGTTTTTCTTTTTTTCCTTTCTCGCCCTTGTTCGTTTTTACACATAGAGACAGAGCGAAGCTCAACATACTAGTCCTTACTTTAAAACCAAAGTAAAGAAAAAAAAAAAAAACAACACAACATTGTATAGCTTTTAAGAATCTCCATTACGTATTCACACCTGTGTGTCTATACAGAAGGCATAATTATAATTAAATAATTCAATCATCGTAATTAGGTAAATGACTAACCGATAAGCGAATAGATAATGAAGAAGATACAATGGATAAGCCACTCGTTAAGTGTACCGTTTTATTTTAACTCATTTTTTACTACACGATTAACATTTTATCTAGCAACTTTCGTCGGCTAGGAATGTAAATTCTGTATCTGTACATTGTTTTCCTATTTCAACTATTAAAAGTGATTGTCAACTTAAACTGTCGTGTTATTCTCGTTCATTCTGTCGCAAGATACACATATCCGTGTGTGATCCGTGTGTGTTAATCCGTTTGTATGAATTCCATTTGCTTAAACGAAGCTGCTCAGTACAATTTATTGGTTGAATTCCTTTATTATTTGATATAAACTTCTAGCACAAATCAGAAATCACTGTTAGTAGAAAAATATCCTGTAACATCGATCTCTTAGAAAATGAACTTTGACTGCAATAAATTGCTTGTCACTCAATGCATATTCATATAAATGCACATCCTACTGCATTTTCAGTAGGATTTCATTTGAAGCTTTGTGACAAAAGTCAGTATAAATTGTTATTGGACTTTGTTATTCGAGAAACAGCACTTGAGTAGTATATGTGCATACGTATGTACATTCTTGTTCTCATTACGTAAGGCCATATTACAAACGTTGTTATAATTACCAACATTGTCGTATTTACTGTTTACAAGATCAACATATGTTCAACATCAACACGTATCCTTAATAGGAATGAATTTCGTTTGAACCGGATGTGTTGGCCTCAGTACCATACCCACAGCAATGGACAAATCTTTAAGATAATCAACGGGTTCAAAATAATAATTATCTAAGAGAAGACTCAGCGTTGTCTTTAACTCTAACATGGCGAATCGTTGTCCTACAAGTCAGAAATTAATTATGTATAAAGTTTATCGGAATAACAATGTTTAAAATATTGAAAAGTTATCACAATTCAAAGATACTAACTAAATATTATCACAATTCAAAGATACTAACTAAATATTATCACAATTCGAAGATACTAATTAAATATTATCACTTCTCCATAGAATGCAAATTTAAATTCCAAAAAAAAGCGAATCGCTCGTAAAAAGTGCTGTATAAATATTTTCCCAAGAAGCGACACATATGTTTTTGCAATTCAACTACAAGAACATTTGTTTCTTCATGTCCTATAGTATCTATAATTCATTCGTCTCGTTCGTATCCTTCGTAGTATTTATTTATTACTAAATATTTGTATATTTGGAATTCTTACCGATACAGTTTCGTGGACCAGCACTAAAAGGTATATAAACATAAGGATGCCGTCCTTGGGAATTTTCAGGTAAAAATCTGTCGGGATCAAAGACCTCCGGATTTGGCCAAAATCGTGGATCTCTCTGAGTGTCATATATGTTCAAGTTAATTACAGCATTTACAGGTATTACGTAATTACCTAGAAATATGAGAAATTTTACTTGAAGAATAAATAATAGTATAACTAAGTAACTAGTATAACTAAATAATAGTCCATCATAATAGTAAAGTATTTGGTAATATTCCGCGATTCACGTAGAATAATATTTGATATTTACTTAATTTTATATCTTTTTCGGCTTTGCGAGATATATGAGGCACGCTTGGATAAAGTCTAAGGGTCTCCTTGATGCATCTCTCTAGATAGAAAAGATTTTGCAGAGCAAATGTATTTAATTTTCCTCCATTTTCTTTCAGTACCTCTCTTACTTCAGCCCTGGCTCTATCCTATGAAATAATTGCCATGCATAAACATGTATATCATGTCATTTTTTTTACCGTGTAAAATTATCTTCTTTTTATTTAACATATAAATAAACAATAAAATTAACATATATTATATAAGTGTATAATGTAAATAGTATACGAATGTTTATGTAATATGTATATTTATAATGCATATTCATGCACACTTAAAACGTATTCTATGCAAATTTGCCACGATAGTAAAAGACAAAATTGAAACAAAGAATTCACAATCACCTGAATCTCTTTATGTTCAGCCAAAAGCATTATAGAGTAGCAGATAGCCAACGCAGTAGTATCGTGTCCCTGTTAAAAAACATTCTTCTACTTTATTGTCACGTATTGAAAAATTATTTTTTTTTATATAGAAATTAAAAAATAAAATTATAATTAATAGGTGAAAAACATTATTTAACATACCCTAAACATGAAAGTATCAACTTCTTCTCTAATCCCTTCATCATTTATCTCATTATTTCGATGAGCTGCTATCAATAGGTCAAGCATTGCGAGTCTCCTTTTACGAACTGCACATAAATAAATATATTTTGAAAAATCTCAAAGAACGCCTATACTTCCAATATCATTGCACTGAATGTTACCATTATTGTCATCTGAACTCTTGTTAAAATCAGTTAAATATTGACCATTTGTCTGATCGTGATATTCTTTTCGCTCTTGAATTACCTAGAGTGCATTATCAAATTTGTAATTAGACACTTAAAATTCAGCAATAACGATAAAATAATAATGCTTTTATTTTATATTTGAATTCAAAGGAAGTATGTATAATTAAAAATGAGATTTCCCTACCTTTTGAGTGAAACCGTGTAATATTTTAAGTAATTTCTGTTGTCTCCTTCCTTGCGGAAAGAGATTAAAAAAGAAATTATAAAAGAACCACGGTCTTACAAGTCTGTAAAGATCATTATAACAACGTGCATCACAATCATGTAATAGTAACAATACGATACAAATAATAATAATAATGTAAATGTACATTACATTAGTGACAGAATGTAAAGTTTATCCGTCAAAAATTATATACCTGTACGCAAAAATTTCTCCCATATCGTTCACAGCTTTACGATATTTGTACTGAAATTCACCTTTGTCCTTCAGCGAGGTTCCCATTGCAGTTTCTGAAAGATAATCGATTAAACATTTCCTTAAATTTTTAAGAATTTAAAAAAAAAGAAACCTCTTAAAAGCTCTAACTATACAATTTTCTTTCACTATTTTTTAAACTTTCCAAGACCTTGTAATCTAAAAACATACTCCTTTTAAAAATTGCAAATGTTTATATTGCATTATTGCAAAATTGCAATATTTAAAAACAAATCATTTAATCGCATTCGTCTGTTAAATTGTATTTGTTTTAATTTTTCAATATCATAATTATCGAAATATTTTTATTATTTATTATCAAATAAATTTCATGAATCACCACATATAATGTTTAAAGTGTGCTCGCTAATGAGTTGCAAGAGATCTTTCACAACAACTCCCTCTTCGCTCTTCAACGATTTGATCAAACGTTCTCCTTCCTCTGTAAATATGTCAACAAACTGTTGAAGCACGTTGAAATGAAAACCTGATGTCAATATCTTCCTACGAGTTTGCCATTTGCGTCCTACAAGACATTAATTATTTCTTCAAAAATTTCACAAGTTTTTAATATAGATGATCTATTATAAACGTGTTATTTCCTAATGACTATATTTATTTATTTACACATTAGCTCATAGCATTTGTCGTTTAAAGATCAATAGAAAAACAAAATTGATTGCAATTTCGGGTTTTAGTAAATCCAAAAAATGAGAATAATACCTGAACTGGTAAGAAGTCCAGTACTAAACCAAGGCTCTAGAAGTTTATAGATAAAACTTTTTTGAGTGAATCTGGGATTTCCAAGAAGTGTCTGGATGACGGAAAAGAAAAATCAATAGTTTTCTTACTATTGAAACGTAGTTAGCTTACTTGCAAAAAACTGAATGTTTAATCATGTTATTATGTTTATTTAAATTTAAATTAGGAGAAGATTAAACTAGTAAAAATTGACTAGAATAAGTCAGCAAAGCTCATAAGCAAAACTACGTCGTATATCTTATATATAAATAATATCTAAGTCTAAATATCTACTATTCTTAGTAATTACCTCAAAATCATCTGGATGTTGAATTTGAATTAACGCACTCCAGAAACTCCAAATTTTGTAAATTGGATAATATTGTATGTTTATTTGCTTTAGGAGCGTCCAAAGATCGTCTATAATAATTAACGTGAATCATTTACCTATTATTATTGACTCATCATTTCAAACATGTTTATTATTCGAGAGAAAATAAAATTGTTAAAATTTAAAATGAGATAAAAATATAATATAATCCATTTAAAGATATAAATATTCCTTCTTACTTGATGAAACTTGCATATGATATATACTTCCGATAATAGGTAATGCCTGAGGCCCTGGTAATAAATTTATTAATCTTCCAAATCTTCCATAATGCAAAATAACGTAGTGTAAACTGGCCAAAAGAAATAAGAAGAACAATATCGTGGTGATCATTTTCGTAATATTTCAATATTCAACGATCTTCTAGCTTCTTCTAATTCTTCGAATCCTCTTGTATCTTTATGCTCTTCCTTTCATGGAACTATTACAAATGACATTTTGCTTGATATTATTAAATACTTTATATCAATGCCTTTGTGTATAAAAAGTCGCAGATTTATCTACATACTTTAATCCATCAAATCTTTACAAATTTTTGTTTGTGGCAAGATAAGATGAATAAATATGTAACAAATATTTATTTGTGGCAAGATAAAATAAATCATTAAGATAAGAGAATTTTTATCTTAGCTATTATTATATACGATCTTATTTTTAAATATGTTTTCGCGATTGTTAGAACAATTAATCAGAGAAATTGTTTTCGCGATTAGTAAAATAATTAAAAAATAATATTATATATATATAATATTATTAAAATATAAAATAAAAGTATATACATATATATATATATAAAATAGAAAATAAAAGTGTATATATATTTATTTATTTATTTATTTTCTATTTGAAGATCACGAAAATGCTATTGCATGGAGGAGTCATCTTCAAATTTAACACATTATTAATCACTTCCATATTGTCAAAACTCTCCATTCAATTGCTTTTAAAGCTAAATATATGTTACTTTCTGATGTGTTTTGCCTTAATTAAATATTATAAATAAATTACAAATAAATATTATTGAATTTATTACTTTTGAACAAACCTAATAAGTTATTCTTCTTTTTAATTAAATTTAGTTATAATGCATTAAAATATTATCAATTTTAAACATCAATTATCAGAAAAATCAGAAAATTAAATCAATAAAAATATCATATATTTCCTGGCCGATCTTAACATAAGTTAAATACACATTTAAAGCAAATAAAATATTCAAAATAATTTTAATAATCAAATTAATAGATAATAAATGTCATCGATCAGCTACTTACCAATGCAAACACAATAATAATGTCTGATTAAAGTCTCTTTTAAGAGATAAGAGAACTACACTGATGACAAGAAATTTTCGCAACAATGTACGTAATCATTCCCACTAGACTGATATCACGAAAATACACAATATTTCATTAAGATACACGATATCTTCTTTGCTATTAATTCTTTTGAATACAATAAATAAGATAGACACATATGAATAAAATATTATAGAGATTTGTTAATCACGCAGATTTATTTTAATGAACTTACTACTATATCTCTACTTGCTGGAAATGGCAACGGAAGAGACTTTTCTTCTTTTTATACCTTTGCCTCTAAGCAGATTTCTGTTTGTAAAACACAAATAAGACTTTGTAACGATTAAGAAATAAGATATTTCTCTTCAGTCAAAAAATAATTTATTCAGACTGTTCAACTGTGATTATGAAGATTTTTAATTATTAGTGGGAGAAACAATTAATCTTCAACTTTCTTCATTTTTTATTATAATAACTTTTATTATTTTTAATGTAATCTATATCATTTGTAGTAATTAATATTACAAAGAAAAAAACAGAAAAATAATTTTCTAAATTATATATATTTTTCACCTCGTGTTAATCGTTTTAATTGATACTGTAATTAAAAATAATAATATATTACTAAACAAATGAAGTAAATAAAGTAAAAATACAAATGTGAATGAAAAACGTAATAGTTTAATATTATATTTGTTCGTGGCTGTAACAATGAATAAGAAGGAATACAGGACAATGTTAAGGTATTATAACAATAAACAATTACAATTTAAATTTGAAAAATATTTAATTACGATCATATTACATACATGTATGTATTGTATCATCTTTTACAAAAGTTATTTTTTAAAATTATTATATACAAATTGTATTTTACACAGATTTTATACATAACGCAAACTAATAAATTAATAATTAATCAAGAAATAATTACATTAATAATAAGTAGTTGATTTAGAGCTATACAAATTATTTGTTCATTTTTTCATAATATCATTAATGAAATAAAAGAATGATTTATAGTAATTTTACAATCAAAATATTCTTAAAAATTTTTTAATTGAAAAAAAAGAATTTTGTTTTTAAATTACGCGCTTGGTTATATAGTTAATGGGTTATATGACCGAATGCGCATTGTGTTGCATTCTGTTCTTGGTATACTGTCACTTGTAAATTGAGTGATGAAATAATATTTAGTGTATTTTATAGCTATATATATTTGCTTTTGAAAGGCTTGTTGCAAAAAGAAATGATTATTTTAAGTCTTGCAATAATATCAACGCATTTTCGGTCAGTACAATAGGAGTTGGTGTGCGTGGCCAATTTTGCCAACTATTTCCGGAATAACCTCTGTAAGGTGTATTAACGGCATCATAAACGTCATAAAATAATACGTAATATCAATAACATTTTCCCAAGTGAAGAGGCATTAGTTTAAAGACTTAAAACCAGTTCAGTGTCTTCCCAAACAATATGGGCCTAACAATTAGTAGCTTACTTACCCGGCTCTTTGGCAAAAAGCAAATGAGAATATTGATGGTGGGCCTGGATGCTGCTGGAAAAACTACCATATTGTATAAATTGAAACTAGGTGAAATAGTCACAACAATACCTACTATTGGCTTCAATGTTGAAACTGTTGAATACAGAAATATATGTTTCACGGTGTGGGATGTTGGTGGTCAGGATAAAATCAGACCACTTTGGAGACATTACTTCCAAAACACTCAAGGTCTTATTTATGTTGTTGATAGTAATGACCGTGAACGCATTGGAGAGGCAGAACGTGAATTAGCAAACATGTTAAAAGAAGATGAACTGAGAGATGCAGTTCTCTTAGTGTTTGCTAATAAACAAGATTTACCAAATGCCATGTCTGCAGCAGAACTTACAGATAAATTGGGACTAAATTCTTTACGTGGACGTCATTGGTATATTCAAAGCACTTGTGCTACTCAAGGACATGGACTTTATGAAGGACTTGACTGGTTGAGTAATGAACTAGCTAAAAAGTGATAAAGTACTGTCGTTATACATAATCTTCATGAACAATTTATTCATCAAGCATGGACGTAGAAGACAGGTTGCAATTTCCATTTTGTCAGATTACGCACTATGTGTACAATTTAATACCACTGTGATTGTAATATTTAAGAAAGAAATTACTTGAAATAATCTAAACTTGACTGGGACTGAGACTATCCAAGTCAGTGCTAAAAGCTGAAACAGGTTTTATTTTCAAAATGAAATTTTCTTTTAAAAAAGAAACTATGAATTAGATGAGTGTATAAATTTATCAGTTATATATTATCTGTATGCTTATCTTATCTTAATCAATAGAATTGTGAGTTTACTTAAAGTGTATCTTAAAATTGAAATAAATATGCAGTATTTCTACATTAATTTTGATACATGTATTGTTATTATTTGGAAAAAATATACTACAAATCTCATTCATTTAACATACTAGTAACAGTTTTTACTATAAGGATAAACGAAAGTAGAAATGAATTGTGCACTTTACTCTGCGTCTATGCAGTAAATTAAGAATTAAATATTATATATATATTAATATATATATATATTACTTAATATACCAATTTTTACCATCCTGTTTTTTGAATAAATAATAAATTACAGAATGAATAACGCTAACAAAAAATTATAAGAGTAAGCACTTAGAACATTTATCTTTTTTTCCTTATTCGTAATTTTATAATTTCTTTTATATGATTTACATTGTAAAGTACAACAATTATAAATTAATGAAAAAATTTAAAAATAAATATATAAAGTATAAATTTACAACTGTGTTTTACCATTATTATATTCTTTTGTAATAGAAATTAAAATTCTAATGTTTTACAAGCTAGGGAGATATACAGTAGACAAGCATTTTTTATAGTCTTGTTTAACTCGATAATAACTTTATTATAGTACAAAACAGTACATTATCATACATGCACTGTATAATGTATAACGTATCAAATAATTTGTTAATATGCAGTGTTATTTTTATGCATCATAAAATTTTATTTCATTTCTACTCCATAAAAGACAATGAATAAATTACAGAAATATATTTCCTACTTATGAATAATATATATTTATGTATATATATACAGTAGTTTTAACATATGACAGAATAGGGCATCAATTGAAGCATTTTAGTATGTTTTGTGTTTATTCAGGATGTGTCAGAAGTGTTAAAGTGTTTAAATTAATTTACACAAAATTTGTTATTATACACAGAATTATTGACTTTATTTGCTATATGCATTTCATAAAATTATTAGTGCATACAACCATTTGATAACAAATTTTCTTTATTTTAGGCAGCAATCACACAGGTCATTGAACAAATACCAAGTATGACATAGTAATTAATTTGTACAAACTATCTTTTTAACACTAAAAACTGATATTTGGAATAGGTCTTATCAGTAACTTTAAATTAATTATGATTATCTTACACTGATGCCATTCATAAAAATAATTTGTTCAGCAGTTCCTTTATTCATAGCTTACAGAACCTTGGCAAAATTTGTAAGTTAATTAAAGGAACACAACTATACTCATTTACGTACCCAAGAATTTTTTTGAGGCAGGACATTATTTTTACCCAGTACTGGAAAATGATTTTCCAAAGTATGACTAGTCATGTGTGTTCGAAAATCAGAACCATTCTTTAAGACTTGACCACAAGTTGCACAAATTTCTAAACCTTTAATCGTATTGCCACTCTCTTTTTTATGAACTTTAAATAGTTCCTGTTGCTTTTCGATATCTGGTAGGAGAACTAGAAGTTCCAGAAATACATTTTCAAACGCGCTGAGACCCATAACTTCACGACAATGCATGTAATAATCTTGAGCGTTACATGTTCCTTGACGAAACAATCCACTTATGTACCGAAATTCTTTGATCTGATCATCTTGTAGTAGAACCTCATTAACTTTGGCTACAAGACATTTGTTCCGTTTCTGAAATTCTGGTGGAGGTACATAGTTGTATGCACTATTGTGTTTACTATTGTCTGGCAAGATAGAGTAACTCTCTCCAGAACTATTTGTGAAAGTTAATCCGTTACTGTTGTTTATTTTATCCAGACTATTATATTTTATACAAAAACCAGGAGGTGGAGGAGTTGTTGCTCCAAACCCAGGTGGTGGATTTGTGAAACCTGGTGGCGTAGAACTACTACCACTTAAAGCAGGAAAATCTTCTAAATGTCGGGCATTTCTATTAGTGGAATTTAAGCTATCTATTTTTAATTCGGTACGCTTTCTCTGTACTGCATTAGTAGTATTGTTATCAATATCCGTATTTACAGTTGTTTCATTGTCTACATTTTTATGTTTTTTCTTTTCCTTTTTATTATTTTGTTCAACTGTTTTTAATACTTGGACATTCATATTTTTTGATATATTTTCACTGTTACTAATATCTGCATTTTGCATAGATTGAGAAGTTGATTGTGCAGCATCTGTGTTATTCATACTGGGGGGACTTCTCAGTGTCTCATATTCTTTTTTTACTACAACAGTACTTACATTTGTTTTTGAATTATTACCATTATTCCCATTAGCAGTATTATTATTACAATTTTGTTTAACTTTTTTCTTTTTCGTTTTTCCCTTTGTCATGTCAGTAGTTGTTTTTGCATTATTACTGTTATTAGAACTCTGTGTTTGACCCCAGGAGGGAACTACTGTAATAGTTGATTGTTTTTTCGATTTAGATGATTTTGATAATGTAGGAAAATCTTCTCCAGATTGAATAGGTGGTGGAGAAGGTATTAATGGTGGTGAGGCTACTTTTTTAGCTTTTGGTATTGATGTAGATGCTGATTTAGAACAAGTCCATTGCAAAACTTCCTTCCAATGAGCCGAGTTTGTATTACTACTAGTTGATGGTTCTGCAGAACCTAATGCTGGGAATGATTCCATTGAAAGCTGAGCAGGACGAATTCTGATATTAGGACCTGAAACTTTTGTAGTAACAGTTCCATTTGGTTCGTGATTTACTTGAATAGACAAGTTAGAAGTTGTACTTTTTTGAGATTGTGCACTCGATCCTGAAACATTACTACTGGAGACACTGAAATTAACAGTTTTAGAAATACTTGTATTTCCTGATTCTGGCCCTAATGCAGGAAAATTTTCGTCTGTAACAGCAAGAGGCTGGGGTCTTATGGTACTGCGAATTGTTACATTACCTCTGCCTTTACTTTGATTTAATGTAGGTACAATAGGTGCAGTGTTACCCAGTGTTGGGAATTCTTCTGTGCTCTGTACATCCACAGATGGTTTCTGTGCAAAAGTAGATTCGTTGTTTGGCATAAATACATTTGAAAAATTTGATGTGGCCGTTTGCTGATATTCCCTGAGATTATAATCTCTTCCGCTGTAATCTCTTGAATTCCTGGAAGTCGATGGACCTAACATTCCTCTCCTATTCATTCGATTTTCACCACGTGGAGCTAGTGTAAATTCTAGCTCTAATGTTCTTGCTTGCTTTGCAGCAGCTTTGCTCAGTTGTTTACTATGAACACTTGCCTTATGTGCTTTAAGATCTATATCAGTTCTAAAGACACTTGTAAATTTTTCCTCTGCACACATTCCTTCTTCACATAAGAAATGTTCTTGTCTGAAATGATCTCGAAGATAATCATATGAACTGTAGTATTGATGTAAACCATCTGCGTCACAAAAATGACAATATAAGTGATCTCTTCTTAAATGTCGAAATAATTCATCATTATCCATATATCTTTGATCACAAAATTCACACAATGGATGTCCTTTATGACTTTTGTCGTCAATGTCTCCTTTCCTCCTATGCTGGGCAAGATCAGATCTTGTGTAACAACGTCTTTCATGAGAAAATATCTGTTATAAAAAAAAGCAAACATCATTTAGTAAAACTAAATAAATAAACGTATAATAAAAATATTAAATAATGTTAATTATCAACCTTCAAATTTTCCACACAGAGATCGCAGTAATGTAATTCATGATGATGTCTCATATGATCTTTCAAACTACTAAAAGTACTAAACACAGGTCTTTCTTTACAAATATAACAAACATTGGCTAATAAATCATAAAATTTATTTTGAATATCTGATGTGTCAAAATAGATATTGTATCGTGTATCTAATAGGTTGCCTTTATGTAAGTGACGGAAAGGTTTTATCTCCTTTGTAAATACAACTTTTGGCAAATCTTGACGGCAAATAGGACACTCATTTTGACAACAGAGTACTCTCATTCGAGTACTACATTCGTAACATACAGGATGTTCACACATACCAATGCTATAAATATCAACATTTTTGTAACACACAACACAGGTGTTATTCGTACTTTCATTACTGGCAGACATCCTTTTTATGAAATCCCCTTCAGAAATATTAACTATCGTGTACAACTTTGTTCACAAAATGTAATAATTTCTTATTTTGTGTTGATTTTATTCGATTTCAATGAAATAAATTTTATCTCTTATATTGTCTTGCACAATCTGTAACAGTTAACATTTCAATGTCAGTATATTTGTTCAACATAATAATAATAACTATAATCAAATATTATTTTCTTGAAACAATTGATTAGTTATAGTCATTGAAAAGAATATCGTGCTTAAAATTGATAAAATACAACACAAATGTATAAAATTTTGATGTTTAACTAACAGAAAGAGAATAAAGACATACGTGTTCAGATCCTTCACAACCACTAAATTTGCTAAAACAAACATTTAACGAAGAACAGACTGTTTATTTTTATTTTTTTTTCTTTTTTTTTTGATACTAACAGTATAAAAATATTTCCTAGTAAATTGTTAAATATGTTTCAAGAAGCAAATAGAAGAAAATGAACAGTACCGTTTAAAAATTATTCCAATATGCAGATGATAAAATCTCACAATATGTCCCTGAAAGAAAAAGGTTATCACGATTCATGTGTTAGACTATGATATGTACGTTGGTTGGTTTGACGATTCAGCTCGATGAGCAAGCAGGTTCCGGTTTCTTCTGTTTCAGTCATTACTAAGTCAAAGTGTAACTAGATAAACTAGTGATTTGAATCTAGTACCATTTCATATTAAACGCAAAATATCAAAATAATTTAATTTGTATTTACGAAAATTAAAATATTTTTATATTTATTTTCACAGTAAATAAAAGGTTAAGAACGTAATTTTAATTATAAAAGTATATCGTAATAAGAAAATTTATAACTTTAAAAATTGTAAGTCTCAGATTAGTCTTATAGAAACATTTAGATGAATTTAAACTGAAATTAAATTTCTCATTTCTTATTTATTGATGCAATAATCTTATCTCAGAAATGAAATAATATTTGATCATAAAAAATGATACATATATATGAATAATATTAAAGTATTTATTAACTCTTTTCAAAAATAACATTCTAATTTAATAATAAAGCAACTCGTATTTAAAATTATATATTATTAAAACTATATATAATTTATTGTATAATACAATTTCTCCTTTTTTTATAAATATTAATTATTATCTGAAAGTATACTGTCATGTAAGAAATATAAAAGAATTCGCAATTAAAGATAACAACACAAAATGTGTATAAAGACTAATATTTTTTAATTGATTTTCTTATAAGTGCTAATCTTTGTTTATGCGCTTCTGTAACTGTAGCACGTTTATATGGCCGTACTTCATCTGTACCAAAACCAGGGATCCACATATTCCAATTTCTTTCTAAAAAAATTAAACAACAATTCATGAGAATATATATAAAAACATTGCATCAAGTAATTACTTATCTAATTATTTCTTGCGACTTACCTAAATGTAATTGTACATCTTTTACTTCTACAGTATTTGCATGACGATGCTTAGCTAACAAACATGCTGCGTTTACAGTAGTTTCTACAAAATCATCTGCCAATTGTAATAACATTTCTTCTACATCATCATCTAATTGTTCAGTGGGATCTACTTCTTTCACTAAATCTTGTAATCTTGTTTTAGTCAAAAACTGGAATCAATACGATATGGGAAATTAAATGAAATCAAATTTATTATTTTGTGATACCTGTGTATAACATACTTGTGGAAAGTCATTGAAGGAACTTTGTTGTTGAGATTGCTGTGTTTGTTGTGTGGAAGGTTGCTGTACTACCTGCTGTTTTGGAGGTTGGGATACAAATTGCGTCTGTTGAGATTGTGTCTGAGGCTGTAATATCTGTACTACTGTATTACCAGTTTGTACATCAGGCACGGTAGTTGATGCCTGAGTATTAGGTCCAATAGATTGTAGACTACCAAGTACTGGTGTCATATCAAAGCTTTCGTTAAAAGTTTATACGAGACCTGTTTATTCTGTCACGTTGTCTTTCAGACGTGTGTAAACCGAAGTGGTGATAGTTTAACCTACTACCACTAGATGTCTAGATCTTTTTCATTAATTTACATTCTAGTACCTAGTCACTTATAAGTACTAGCATTGATTGAATAGATAGAATAGATTGGACATAAAATAGGATTCGTTCTAAAATACCGATCAAGAAAAAAATCTATTGTCGAGGCTTATTCTGATGATTTGGAAACAATTGTTCTTTCTTTTTTTGTTTTATCCTTTTCTTTTGATTTCTGGTTATTCATTCACGTTCTAATATCTTAAAATCTTGAAGTCTGAAAACTTGGCAGATGGAAGCAGAAACAAAAATTAAATTCACATTCTCAACTCTACTAAAGAATTCGAGATGTTAATAGTTAACATTTTCTTTTACTGTTTTGTTAAGAAAATTTACACACAATGATTTTTCAAAAGTACTTGAATATTTGAATATGTAGAAAAATTTTTTCTAGTTGTATTATATAAAACAATTTAAAATTTCATTGACTATAATGAATTTCAACTATTATAATCATATTAATAAAGATCAAAATAAATCTAAAAATATATATAGAAATTATAAGATATTTAATACAAATATATGTTTCGCAAAGATAACAAATGTATTGCTCAATATTCAATAAGGCTATATTCAGCATTTATCTATTAACACCTTTCAATTCCTCTAGATCTCTGTTTTTCATATATTTTATATAAAAAATTATATTTTGTTATATATTATATACAGTGATCCAAGTATACTAAATTTGATACTTGTTTCATATATGACTATAATGAAAATGACGAAAATGAAATGTAACAATGCAAATACTTCGCATTGCCGCGACGTATTATGATATAGCTGTGCCATATGATGTGACACGTACATGATTATTATTTCAAATTCTTCACACGACAATGTCTAGAACATTACAATATGTATTTCTTTATAGCGAATTGTCAAATTCCTATAACACTCGGTTTAGTTTATCGTAAAACAAGTTAATTTTTAACACATGAGCTTTGTAATCGTGGGCGCTGTCATCGATAGATTCAAGATGGCCATGGTGCATTACGGAAAAGAAAATTCGAAACGTTTAGACAATAATTTTTAATAATATATGATATTAAATTAATTACAAGAAAAATTCAATTAAAGTTCGATCGATACATAGAGTATTAATTTTTCTCGGTAACACTGAGAACACCATGCAGAAAGAACGAAAACCAAAATGGCATTTTTCAAAGCGAGCTGATTTCAGGAAGAACCTCCGATGTTAGCGGGGAGGATGATTTTCTTAGTTTTGTGGCGATTTCGCCAGTGATCAATGTGAATTGACTGGCTGTAAGTTTCTTGGTAATAAAGTTATCATGCTTACATACATGTTTTGTTTTTATTAAAGTATCATGTTATAGTGATATAAAGAGCATGCTGTCATTTGAAATAAATATTCCATAACCACCTTCTTAATAATTGAATAGATATCCTGTGTGAAATGTATTTTTCATAATCTCATTTGCATCACAATATAATTAGAAAATAAACGCACAAATTTACAAGTTCGATTGTTACTTGAAATCGTTGTTTTATAAAAGAATAAAAATGGAATATACTATATACACTAGAGTATATATTTAGATGGTATTTTATGGTAACAATATTTTTTATAAAATTAATTGAATTCTATGGTGCATTTATTAAATGTACCGTTTCTTTTTATTTTTTTTCTTTTTTAATATTGTAATAAAATTAATTTCATTTTTAACGTATGAATTCATATATATTATATATATATATATATATATATATATAACATAAATTTAAATATGTATGATTTTAGTGCAATTTAAATGTCAAGCATGTCTCCTCCTTTAAATCGAAAACGAAGCTCGTCTGTTAGTTTTACAAGAGCTAAGGATGATAGCGAAGATGCTACAGATGAAATTCATATATCTTTAGCACCATATATACAAACATATTTGGCACACAGTGGACAAGGACTTGGATGTTGCGGAATTAGCCTTCCAGTACCATTTGAACGTGCAGCACCAAGATCTTGGTGGAACCCTAAATTTGATTCAGAAATACTTGAAGAACAATTTAAAAGAAGTGCCTTTCCACAAATTAGATTAAGATTCCGGTACATAATATAATATAATTTGCTAAAGTCATAACAACAAATATTAATATATATTCTGTTTTAGGTATGCTTTAACATATATTTTATTGGTTTCTTTATCCTGGCTGGTATATTTTGTTGTAATTGGAACAGAATACAATACTACAACATGGCCAGCAATAGCAGCAATTTTCACTGCTATTGGAGCAATGGTATCAGCAGTTTTATATCTAACACATAGAGATTATTATAAAAGTTATGTGTTACCAATTTCATTAGGAGTTGCAACTATACTTTGCATCCTGTCTTTACTTTTTCTCACAATAGTACCACCCTATATAGATGGCTTAACTCTAGTCGGACATTTTGCACTCTGTTCTGAGATTTTGTTATTGATTTACACTGTCTTGCCAATGCCACTATATGCTTGTGTGGGAATATCAATGATTTATTCTTTTCTGTTTGAATTTTTGACTGCATACCTATATGGTACAAAAAGTGCAAGAGAAAAGTTTTTTAGCAAACACATTTTATTGAATACTTCGACAGGAAGTGATACCATTCTGAGAAACTTTAACAACAATCAATTTTCTAATGTGATGCATGATGACAACGAATCTACAACTACAAGTATGAAGTTAGTATCATATTCACAAGATTCAAAATTGTTATCTGCTCTTGAAATGAAATCAAATCAAGAAAATATAATTAAAAGGATATCTGGAGTTTTAAATGATACCAATGTTTTCAAGAACTTAAATTCTAGTATAACATCAACAATAACTAATATTAACTCTGCCATAAACGCTTCATCTAATGATTTAATCTCAAAAAGTATAAACAATGAAACAGAAATCCATAAAAATGGTGAAATGTCAAACTATTTACTAAATAGCAACATATCTAACCAATCATTTTCGGATGATTATTTTTCTACGAGTCTTGGAATAAGAATCTTAATGCAGATCTGCATTCATCTGATAGGTATACATATTTTAATAATGACTTTTGTGAGAATGCGTGGTACATTTATGAAGGTTGGGCAATCACTGTTAGTTCGACGACAACTCGAGATGGAAAAACAACTTAAAGAGAAAATGATTCACTCAGTAATGCCGCCTAAAGTCGCAGACTGGTTAATGGAAGAAAGTGAACGTGAAAGAGAGCGGGAGGATTCTTTAAAAAAAGGTTCGATACCGTCCAATAATACAGATATTCGCTCATTGTTTCGACCATTTAATATGCATTCAATGGAAAATGTTAGTATCTTATTTGCTGATATTGTCGGATTTACGCGAATGAGTTCCAATAAGACTGCAGAGGAATTGGTAGGCATTTTAAATGATCTTTTTGAAAGATTCGATGATTTATGTGAACACCATGGATGTGAGAAAATTTCTACTTTGGGAGATTGTTATTATTGTGTAAGTGGATGTCCAGAACCAAGAACTGATCATGCAAAATGTTGTGTAGAAATGGGATTAGGTATTTTCCTTTTTTTCTATTAAATGATGGGAATAAAATATTTATGTAGGAAATAAATAATATGTACACTTTGCAGCTATGATAGAAGCTATAAAACAATTTGATATTGAAAGAAAAGAAGGTGTTAATATGAGAGTTGGAGTACATACTGGGACTGTGCTCTGTGGAATTGTAGGTACTAAAAGATTTAAATTTGATGTTTGGTCTAATGACGTGAGTTTAGCGAACAAACTAGAAAGCACGGGAAAACCAGGAAGAGTTCATTTAAGTGAGAAAACATTAAATTTCCTCAATGATGGTTACATTACAGAAGAAGGGGATTTAATAAATGGTAATAACATTATTATTGCATAGCAATAAAAAACTATTTATAGAATGCCTGCATGTTAGAGTAAAAAATTTTTTTATTATAAAAAAAATTAATAGAAATATTAATATTGCAGGGATTAAAACTTATTTTATTAAAAGTCGAAAATCAGATTTCACTAACCAGTTCATAATGAATATTACATCTCCAACAAGTATATCGCCTTTGATGCAATCGCGTCAACGTGTGGCCTCTTGTAATAGTCAATCTAAATCTAAATATCATTACCTTCATATGGTTACTAATACAAGTAATTATAGAATGAAAGCAAATTCTTTGCCAAGTATTCTAGATTCTGAAAACGGAGATACTGACACTGCAGATGAAAAGGAGAACGCAAATAAAAGTCCGATATCTGTTGCTAGTTATGGAAAAAAGAAAGGACGAAATAAACCATGGAAATATTTACAACGACAACGAACTACCGAAGAAATGACACCTTTAGAAATGGAAGAAGCCAAAGCAATTATTGCTGAAAAATCAAAAATTGAATCTCAATCGTACGAAGATCGCAATGGATTTAGGCAGGTCGAAATCTCGTTGATAAATTTTGCTTTAATTCTCAATTGTTTTCATTCATATATAAGTTATATTTTTTTTTATAGAATACATCTCAAAATGAGATTGAAATGGATCCGAATCCTGTACCTTCTAGTCCTTTATTGTCTGGTCAGGAGCCACTCAGTCGTGCCTCTTCTATGTGCAGTAGGAAAGATTCCGGAATTAGAAGTAATAGTAGACGTAGTAGTATACAGCAGCAGGTATAATTCATAAATAATGATAGAAATTATATTAGAGATACTTCACTATAAACGTTTCAATGGTAGTCAGCACGTTCCCTTTCCTCCTGCAGTTAATTTTCGTATTTTAGTTATTTTTGATGAATGGTATGGCTCAAGGGGATTTATTGGGACATAGAGTGAGCGGCTATTATACTTCTAGTTCGACATTAAATTCTGTTCAAGAGCCATCGTCTTCGGTACCACCCTATCCATTTCCTCCAGCAGTCACAGATACCTTTGGTGCATGTTTTCACAAATTAAGAAAACAATCTGACCTACAATTAATCAGGTAAATAAATCAATGATTAAAATGTGTACGTTTAAAAATTATATTATAGTATAATTTTGTTTTTCACGAAGGTGCGTTCAAGATAATGTAAGTTCTCAACGATCATACTTCGTGAAACCACCACTTTCGAGTTTGACACTCTTTTTCAAGAACAAAGAAATGGAGAAGGAGTATAGAGAGAATGCTCACAAGGTTAGCGAATGTATCAGTGGAAATCCACCTACTCTGGCTACTTCGAGATTCAATACGTATTTTGATATTCTAATATCGGCGTTGGTTTATACTGCCGTTACAGTTTCACTTTTTTTACTGTGCGATCCAACATTATATTATATGATATTTTTTGTGTGTGCTACTACCATTCAAATTATAGCAGTATCGCTTTGTGTTCGTCAACTTTTATATCCGAATATGGTTCATGCAACGTTGACACAGCAAATATTTAAATTTTTTTCACAGTGGTATCCTTGGCACATTTGCGGTGCATTTCTGGTCGGCTTACCGATTACGTCAATTCTTCTTAATTATACGTGCAATAACTTTCATAATTTGAATAATTTTGAATATTATTATGGTTACTTAATCTTTATTGGTTTAATTCATTTCTGTAACTTCACACAACTCAATTGTTGGATGAAAAATTTTCTGGTAACATTCATGGGCGTATTGTTTCTATATCTTGTAATGAATCATCATAATGTATCATATGATCAAGAAAATCTCGGTAATCAATTCATTAACAGTTCATTAAATTACTCGCAAGCCGTGATAAATAAACGTGCCATTGATTTAATCAAAAATCAATTTAATAAAACTATTGCAAAAAAAGTATTCAAGAATACTTCCAATTTCTTATTAAATTCCACAATGAAAGTTGCTCTTATGAGGCAACAAGAAGCAGAAATCAGATATCATGAAAGATTATATAATTCTGAGATTTTTTTAGATATGATACTTTTACTTTTATTAGTTTGGTTTTTAAATCGTGAATTTGAAATTAGTTATCGGTTAAGCTTTCACGGAAACGCGGTAGCCGCACGAGATAAAAGTCGTGTGCAATCTATGAAAAATCAAGCTGATTGGCTTTTACACAACATTATACCAAAATATGTTGCTGATCAATTAAAAACAACTGCTAAATATTCACAGAATCATAAAGCTGTAGGAATTATTTTTGCAAGCATAGTAAACTTTAATGAACTCTATGATGAATCGTATTTGGCTGGAAAAGAATATTTGCGTGTGCTTAATGAACTTATCGGTGATTTCGACGAGTTGCTAGAGAAGCCAGAATTCTCAAATGTAGAGAAGATTAAAACTATCGGTAGCACATTTATGGCAGCAAGCGGTTTAAACCCACAAGTTAGGCAACAAAGTGAACATGAATATATGCATCTGTTTCAGTTAATAGATTTTTCTGTGGCGATGCATAAAGTAATAAACGATTTCAATCGGGAGTTGTTAGGTTTTAAATTAATTTTGAGAATTGGCTTTAATTATGGTGACGTAACTGCTGGAGTAATTGGAGCAACCAAGTTATACTATGATATTTGGGGTGACGCTGTAAATATAGCATCTAGAATGGATTCGACTGGAGTCGCTGGAAGAATACAAGTGGCCAAGAATTCTTTAAATGTTCTCTCGGAACAATACGAGTTCGAACCACGTGGTCAAGTCTATGTTAAAGGAAAAGATAATATGGACGTATTTTTATTAATAGGAAAAAAAAGCGATATTAATACAACGACAAACACTCAAGAATTTTTAAATCCCTAATGATGAGAAGAGTCTATTGTTTATAAATTTAATCGTTTGCAAGTTACATTTGTATCCAGCATATGATCTTTCCTGGGATCAGGCTTCTAGCGATATTTCGATCTCGTTGAGAATTGTATGAATTTTGAACGTGCTACGCGTTACATACGTTAAAAACGTACCTTATTCTTTAATTGCTCGTTCATTAAAGATATTTATTCTTAACGAAATATTCACTGTATTTTTTTACATAATTTAAGAACATCAGATGCGAGACCTACCAAAACCTATCTTTATTAAAAAAAAAAAAAGTACAAAATCAAATCGTTTTAAAAGGATAAAATTTTTTCTTAATAATTGTTGCGAAAAATCTATCGAGACAAATATAGTACGCATCTTCATTGTTTATATGTTGAATGAACGAACGAACGATGCGAATGAGCGAATGAACGTTATATAAAGTGACCGAGTTTGGTCGTTATCAAAAGTTCCTAGTATAAAATGTGCGACTTATTATTGTTAGATAACTACTAGTTATCTCATGTGTAAAAAGCTTACTAATATTTCCTTTTATTAACTTTTTGAGATTACGCGATTTTCTTTCGTAACATGAATAACAAATCAGAACTATTTATATTTAAACATGAAAGTATATAAAATTATTTATGAAATATGAATATTATATTGAAGTATCTTAAGAATCTCAAAACGTTTTTTCTTATTTGTCCATTTTGAACATTATGATAAAGCTTCTTTTAACTACAAACACTCATTCAGTATATATTATATCTCGTTAATTTTTCGCACGATGAATAGTATATTCTAAAAAAAACCTGTTTTAAGGTTGCTGCAATTTTTGAAAACTCAATGATTCCATGCAAAATTTGCATTCTGTTTTAGTTGAAGTTACAATAGAAATTAATTCATTGGTATCTCTTGTCGTAACATTATTTCAGGATTTACTGCATGGACTACTGCATCAATAATAAAATCATATTTTACAAATTACCATTCCGTCATTCTTTAATCTAATATTCTACTTTATTTTCTTTCTGCCTCTTTTTTTTTCTTTCTTTTTTTGAATGTCGGTGAAAAGGTATATAAAACCATATATATAAAAATAGCGAAATATTTTCGGCATTTTACTGCAGTTGTACTTCAGATAATTTTTAGAAGTTCGATACATGAAGCCCTTTTAATGTCCTATTTTTGTAGGCGCATACATACATATGTATAAAAATTACAAAATGTCTCTTGGACTTTGACATTGTCTTATTCGTACTTATATCGAAACGTATTAACAGACTTTGCAATCTTCAGGAGAGTATAATTATAAATATAAGCAAATTAATGGAGTATTGATAGGCAAAGTATATTAATTTCATTATGTGCGTACTATCGCGTATATTGAAGAAAAATTGTTGAACTCTAACGCGATAACTAGTTTAACTAGTAATAAAATTTGAAATTTATTAAAAAGTTATACTCTATTTATACTAATTTCGATAGCTTTTGTTGGAAAATATAGTTCTTTAGGAATTTTATTTTATAACACATATGATGTTAATACGATAGGCAAATTGACCGTATTTAACAAGATATAATTTAATGTTAAATTCAACAAAAGACACCAGTGTGATTTAAAATTTTTCTATGCTTAGTATTATAAATTTCTTAAATAGCACAGTCTCTATCGCGATAGTACTTCATTTTTTAACAATTTCCGCCATATTACTTCTGAATCCGTGATATGATTGTCGCGTATTAAATAATCATTAATATCTACAATTTTATATAAAGTATTGTCGCTACTTTTGATGAATAATGGCAATCATGTAAGGTACTAATCCAGTTTTATGCGATAGTTACAGTGCTGCGTTATTCACAATAATAAAATAAAATTAATTAAAATAATTAAAAAGTAACAAGAAAATGAAACTATTACATATTCGATTTACATACAGTCATCTGAAATGCTGCATTTTTGTCAATTTCAAATGATAAATAAAAGTTGCATTTAATGGCGGTAACATGACTCGAACAGATCTTAAATGAGGCTTATTTTATATGTATATGCTTTTAAAATGCCCAAATAAAATTTTGGCATTATTCATGTGAAACATACATTATAAAACAGCGCTTTTAAAAAGTGCTGAAAAACGTACACGTTTTTCTCTTGATTAAAAATAACTGTAATCAATTCGAATACAAATTTTTGTACCAAATCGTAAAATTGTTTTATATAAATCAACAATCTTTGTATTATACATTAGCGAAATGTTGTTTACAAAAATTGTATTACACATTGCGCGATCGTGGAAAACCATGTTTTACATTAATACAAAAAATTTTATGTAAATCCAAAGAAATAGTAATAAATGCATAAGACTTAATATACAATTATTCGATAATCTATTTAGATTTGTTTATAATTTGCCTCGTCATACGTATTGCATGCTCTTCTTTAACGACAAATGTTTTATGTTACACGTGCATTACGCACAAAATATACACACATACATACACACAACATACGCGCGCGCACATCCTGGATAGTCGAAAAAACACGGATTTTTGTATATATTGAAATCCTGAGTCAAAAATAAGAGGATTTCATAAATAAAACCGGATACTATTATCTTTTTTTATTTTTTCGCTTATTTCTTTACAAATTATTTATAATCGTTGTTGAACACGCGCGTAAGCGTATTTTGTTTTAATTTTATTTATTATTCAGTACATAAGTAAAATAGTTAAGTGTAACTTCAATCGCCAGACTGTGTATGGTATATACGCGTTCAACTTTATGAATAATTTAAAAATCTATTTGAAACAATTTGTATTCTATGAAGTCCTCTTATTTTAATTACATGATTCCTTTATGTATATAGCTCAATCTTTTTTGATAGGAAATCGTTTTCACGATGATTTATTACTATTTATTAATTTAGACCACATGCATGCAGTATGGTCATCTAAATAGAGTTTCTGCTACGTAGGTCCTGCAAATAAAGCTGTAAACCCGCTATCAGTCGAATTCTCGGATACCTCATCTACACGTACTGCTTGTTGTTTACCGAATATTTCTATACGTGGTAAATTGTCTATTTTAATTTCCTTACGAAACAACTGACTAACACTTCGACCAATGAGCTGTAACAAATATTACATAATAAAAATGTAAACTATATCCTGTGTATTCTTCAATATAACATTTTTATTTTCAACATGTAAATCTTACCTGATTTGTAATTTTCTTAAAGAGGTCTTTCTTTCCTTTTTCAACTTTATTTCCTTTAGTACTAACCACAGCCATCTTTTCATCGAAACGTTGTAAATCCGTAGGATTTACACCCGGAATTTGCTGCATCACTTCAATAATATTGGGAAATTTAGGTCGTAGACATTCATAGACTTGTGCACCCAAAGTTATAAGTGAACCTTGATTTGCTTCGTGTTGTCCATGAAGCTGTAAACCTTGAAGAATAGCTACCATAATATGAGCAGCCATAGCAGGCGTTAAACTGCCATCAGCTGCCAACGCCCGTACAACTGGTCCAGTTAACATTGTGGCCTTCAAACTTGCATTTGAATCGTTCCAAGCTAAAGCTCTAGTTGTAACAAAATATTTAATTTAATTAAACATTTAAATTAATTCTACTATGGAATATCAAATAAAACATTAGATTACCCTAAAACACATAGAACGACGCTATGGCACGTAGATGGATGACGAAGAACAACAGTTCCCAATTCACTAACAACTTCAGCGACTATACTATTTCCTCGTGACGAAGGAGCATCGATAGCCATACCGCCGCTATCTTGTTCTATAATATCAGGAGTCGCATCACTAGCAGCACCACCGATAAGAGCTACTTTCAATACGTCTACAAAGTCTCTTGTCAAATTTCTATTTAACATATCAGCAATAACTTCTTGTGTATCCGTATTTTCTTCGTCCAAACCACCAGATTCATAGAGGTGTGCAATGTACTGCCATTTCGCACTTAACCTTTGGCACACTGTAAAAATATGATACAATAAATGCATCTGAATGAAAAATAAATAATAAATAATAAATCAATAAAACGATAAAAAAGATCGCACTATGCGTAGAAACATGAGCCAGTACAGGTACAAGAACACTTTCATAAAATGCAGGTGGACAAGAATATATGAATGGTTTCATAAAAACACGTATAATTGGTCGCAACCTATAATCTGGAATCATCTGAAAGAAACATATACGTACATTAAAATACCAGAGAAAAAAATATTACTAGTTATAACAAGAAAAAAATTACCTCCATATTAGAAAAAACTGAGTTAATGAGCGCTGGTGCTAAACCAGGTAACTGGTAAAAATCTCTTCCAATCATATGACATCCGCTACCTAACATATGGTAGCATAAGTCATGAATGGTACTTAGAAACGACTGCATTCGAATTAAAGCTGTAAACGAAGACTGATCAGGTTCAGAAGCTCGTTCATTGTCATTTGTTGTATTTAAACCTAACAGATTTGCTTTCTCTGCTTCCAATAATTCGTGAGCATTTTTATATCCCTGATAAAAATATACAAATAATAATATATAAAATTTTATGAAATTATTATATAATAAAATTATATAAAATAAACGAAAGATCTAATTATTAGTAGCTATTACCTCTGACAAAGCTGCTAAAGCAGTAGGTGTGAATAGAGCGTTCATTGTTCTGAGCAATGCAAAAAGTGTTGGCAGTATAGGAATTACATGTGGTGTAGCAGGATTTCTATACACTGGATTCCCACTTTCGCTAAGCGCAGCTACAAAGCTGCCTCTTGCAGCGCGATCAGGATCATCGGGAATAGAGCAGCGTTTTACAACACACAATATTGTAGAGATACATATCATTAAGTCGCTTCGACTTTGACCTGCCGGATCTTCCGTAATATTCTCAACTGGTGCTCGGTCTAAACCTACGAATCTTATTAATTCGAGTGGTCCTTTAAACGACTCTGATCCAAGCGCGATAAACTTCGCTGATGCATCACCGATTATTTCTGCGACAAATCTGGTTTGCCTTTCATAATCACAAAAGTGATTTGATATTAATAACAATGCTTCATAAAGTAATGTAGTTTCCATCTTAGATAAAGGACTAGGTTCTCTCGCTAAACCCTGCACCATTGTATGTATTTGCTCAAACACTGGTAGAAGTAGTAATGGATATTTCAGACTAATTTTAACCATAAGACTAGCCGCATGTCGTCTTACGTTCTTTGCTGCTCTAGATCGAGTACCTTTTGTTTCACCAGGAGCTTCAAATACCAGAGCAGCAAAGATTTTCTCTAGAACTCTAGGTAGGATAGCCACACCTGGCATAGCCATTGAACCAGTTGACATAGATAAGAACACAAAGAGAGCGCTGATGCAAGAAAGCAGCGCGGATAATAACCAAGGATCTTGGGGAGAGTAACCAAGACATAATTCCAACAATTGAAGGCCAGTTTGTACGCTTGGTCGTTCGTTAATCAATAGAATTCTTGATACAACAGAATCCAAGGCTTGTGCAAGAGCTTCCCATTCAAGATATTGTGGATCATTTTGGTCACTCTGATATCGAAGGTCCGCCATTCCTTTTGTTATTTTAGCTGTTAGCCACTGTTGTACGTAAGTAAATGTTATCAAAGGAGCTACCATTGTTACTTGTCGAAAACCTTCCAATAAATCAGTTCTGAATCGATGAAGGAAGACATTAAATTCTTCCATTGAATCATAATCTGCGAGACAATATGCGCTCATTCCATTAGCTTGTCTATCTTGTGGATAAGTCACTTTTATTAGTTTTGGCGCTGTATGTTCTACATATTTCGGTATATAAGTTAACAACAATGGATCTTGTTTTATCTGTTCATGTTTAAACAGCATTATCCAAATTACATTTGCCATATGGGTTAATGTCAAACTTGAATACATAGTAAATGTCAACACAGTATCTAAAAATATGTTAAAATGTGTTGGTCGAATGTTAGAACTGTCATCTTTACCCCAAAGAGTACACAGTTGAGTAGCCATTCCAGTTAACACCTAAATTAAAAATTAACATTTTTTATTCTTTGCATGTATATATATATATATATATATATATATATATATAGCTTTATGACGAATTGAAATATAATATACCTGTGTCAATTTTTTTAAGAACAAATAATGGTTCTCATGAAATTCATTTGTTCCAGTGACAGGTGATGCTGCAGTTGCTGCCGTATAAACATATCTCAAAGCATCTTCAGAAAACAAAATCATTAATTGCTTCCTATCCTCAGCTTTGCCTTTACGGTTTACAATTTGTAATAAACATTCAGCTGCTGAGCACTGAAATATTGGATCTCCCAATAGAAGACACAATATCTGCAATAATCTACCATCTTCCGCCATAATATGAGTAATTGAAACCCACTCCACAAAGCCAGTTAATGTGGACAGTACTACCTATACAATAATATGACATAATTTATTTATTGTACAATATAATTACAAAAATTAATTGTAAAGATACAAATAATTTCACAACAAATTTACCTGTACAACTTTGCTATGTGCCGCAGCTTCAGAGGTACAACCTAAAGTATTCTTCTTTTGAAATTCTGAAAAATGTTGTTCCATTAATCTTAAAAAAAAACTAAAAATTTCAGCCATGTTTGTATTAAGTGCTTGGTATATATCCTTTCTTCTTTGATTAGATTCTAATGTTTGTAAAAGTGCAACATCCTCCACAAGTCTTAGAAACACTAAAAGAACTAACTCAGTTTGACTTTCACCCCTTGTACATGCTTGACTAAGTTCAGCAAGTAATGTAGGCCATTGTTGTGGCCATTCCCTTTTTATCATTTCTACTACAACCCGAGAAAGCGCATCTTTAATATGAGCTTCTTCCTGTAACAATGGTTCTGTGCCTTCTTGAAGCAATTTCATTGCATTGTCTTTTATAAATATTTTCTCTGTTTGAGATATTTGTGTCCATCTATATTTGATACAATGTTCCATAAGTTGTAATCCAAAATGCCGAACCACTGAACTTCTGTTTGGAGCTTTCTGAGCCAGATATAATCCACATTGTGCACATAAAGGAGACGATTCTTTGAATCGTTCACAAGCATTATATACTTCCAAACGTTGCTGTTGTGGAACATTTGGTGACATCATCACTTCCACTACTTGAGCAAGTTCTGCTGATATTTGGGCAACATTGCCCACCCCGAACTCCATTCCTATCTATTGCACTGCAATTGAAAATGACAATTTTTTGTAAATTTTTTTATTAAATTTTAAATGTAACAAAAGAAAAAAGAACAAATTTTTGTAATTTTATACTTCTTTTCAGTTTTTATCAACATGTACAATGATGATATTTTTATATAGTACAAATTGTAATATTCAAATATTTAAACTCTGAAACATATGTGTCAAATATATTGAACACTTTATCTACTTTAAATGATTAAATTTTTCCCATCATTTAAAGCACTTTTATAAATACAATATATCAAGATAAAAATAACATTAAATGTTAACGAAAAAATAATATCAATGTTAACGAATGTAATATTCGGAAACGAATTAAAAATTTTTGTCGAAATGCAAATGGGTAAAAGCGACGGTAATTGCGAGAAAAGAGCTAAAATAGCGCAGAGAACATTAAAATTTCATAAAATGACACTCGAAAAATTCAAATTCGGGAACGAAGCAAACAGAAATAAAAGTGATTCATAAAAGATATCAATGCCCTGTGCACACCAAAAAGATTTACAGGGATTCCGAAAAATTTGGAGAAAAATTAGGTGTTGAAAAATCGCATAATTACAATGCAAAAAAAGACATGAGGTGAAGCAGCTTGCAAAGTATGCGTAGCATGCCCTGGTAAGCATGCCTTGACAGAAGATACCTACCTTGTAACGCGATCGTAGATCGAGACGGATCGAAGATACACGTTTGGCAAAAGTTCTGTCAATACGGCTTGTCAATTCATATTTGATGATCGCTTATGGAGTCAAAAACTCGCGGCGTGTACAAGCGGTGATCTTATATTTAGTTCAAGAAGTTCGCTTCCCAAGGGATATGCGGCACGTTGAACGATTACATATAATATACGTAAAATAAGTACTGCCCTCTAGGTGGTTTAAATTCAACCTAACCTTACCTTATCGTGCGTGCATGTTTTTTGTTTATATGAATCACAATTATTTCGATTACATTATTATTTATTATAATAACATTGTAAAGATATCAATTAAGAAAATTTACCTTTCACATATATTAATCGAGACTCTCCTCGCTGCAACGTTTGAATCAAAACAACCTAAAGAATTTTATAGGTTATGCCGGTGATCTCTAACACGAGCTTGTCTGATATTGAGAGCGATAGTATAAATACACGATGGACGAAGCTTTAACCACACCATCTACATTTCAATTAAATTTTTCTAAACAAATATACTGCGTTGAATTATCTCCTTACGAATGGTCTCAGCATTTAATTTGTGTTGCTTTGGCCGAAGAAATTGTTATCGGCACTATTAAATTTCAGGTAAAGTCATTGAATTTCATCATATGTATGTATAGTCCCAGATATTGAATGTTCAGTTTATAAGTTTTATATGTATAATATATTTGATCGATATTTCATGAAAATTACATTTTGTGAAATAAAAACTAAAAAAGAAATATGATTTACAACATATCTTTCCATAGAATATAAAAATATACAAATGAGAAAAATGATATAGTGAAATTTCATTTGTAATTTTTCAAACACAAACTAATAAATGTTCACAGTACATAAAAATGTTAATTATGTTAATTAGTTGTGATATATAATAAGTTTTTAGGAAAAACTCTGTTTTTAAATAAATAATAATAGTTATTATTAATATAATAATATTATGATTATTATTATTGTATAATAAGGATGAAGATGAAGCAGTGGAAGATATTGCTTACAAACCCTTCAGAACATTTCGTCATGATACTAGACCACACACGATTGCTTGGAGTCCAGAAACCTCTTTGAGTGTTGTACCAAAAGTTTTGATGTTTTGTGTTGCTGGAGCAGATTTTAAAATAAGATTATATAGCAGTGACATGAATGAAAATACTGTGTGTGAAGTAAGATTAAAGAATTGTAATAACGTATTTAAATTATAACAAGTGCAATGTATTTTCATGTATCGATTTATTGATGTTTTTTTAAATATAAGATGGAAGGACACAAGGATTATATAAATTCAATTTGTTATGAAACTGAAGGTGAAATATTGGCTTCTGTGTCTGATGATCACACTTGTAAACTTTGGGCTATAAAAGAAGATGAGAAATGTATATCTACATTTTACTTAACATCTCCAGGAATGAGTGTACGTTTTCATCTTGAAAAATCTGGCAAGCTTCTTGTTGGTGAAAAAAATGGATTGATTCACATGTACGATGTACGAAGTCAGCAAGCAATTATGTCTTTAGATACGAATATTGTTCCCTTAATGTCAATTGACTGGGGACCCAATCCATTAAAAGTTGCAGCCATAGCAGCTGGAAAGTTAATTTTATGGGATATATCTAAACCTAGGTAATGCAATTAAAAAAGTAAATTTAAACATAAATCAATAATTAGAATATATTTTATGATTAATATTATGATTATTATTTTCAGTCCACCTCTAGAATCAAAACCTCTTCATATTGAAGGAGGTTTAATGGTGAAATTTTTTCCTGCCTATGAAAATTTTGTGGCAAGTGTAGGCAGACCAGATAATTTATTAAAAGTTACAAATATAAGATCTGAACAAGAAATAATTTGTGGCCAAGTTAAATTAATAGGTGGGATAACTTGTCATTATAAATTACCGTACGTTTGTGCAACGAGTGATAGAGAACTTCGGTTTTGGAAAATAACTTCGAATTAAGAAACAAAAATATTTTATTATAAAAAAATATCATCGTTATTTTATTAACAAAAAGATGATTTATAGCCAATTTTTATAAATAAAAATCATATTTCTCGAGATTTACATTTCATATAATATATTGTAATATTTTATGGATAATGATAAAAAAAATAAATAAGAAGTTAATTAAACAAAAATAATAAAGTAATAAACATTGTTAATTATCATTAATATCTAATGTTCATTAAAAAAAAATATGTAATATTTATGTAGTAGTATTTAGCCACGTGTCGGAAATACATTTAATAAACTTATTTTTAATAGTTTCATCATGCAATTTGCTGCATAATTCATTTGCTACACCGTACACCATAATAGGATCTGGAATATGACCCAAATCATTGAGAATCTCATCCTTCTGCATCTTTAATGTATTTAATGTTTCCATAAGAGATTCCACATCTTGATCAACGTTACTTTTATCTTGCGTTTTACCTAACAAAAATATTAATCTTTTTAATCTTTTATATTTATTAGTAATAATTTTTTATTTGTATAATAAGTTTGTAACTTACATTTTATAGAAGCTATTTTATTTTCCAATTTGTAAATTTCGTTTGTTACTGACCAATATTTCACTGTTTGTTTATTTAATGCATCTCCAAATACATGTTCGATCAAGTTCATACAATTTATTATATTATTATTATTAATAAATTCTTCATTTACATGGAACATAAACCAATTCAGAAGAGCATAACATAAATAAGCTCGTAAACTAGTTGATATAGAATAATCAGTTTTTGCATATATACTTGTTTTATCCATTGGACTTTTAATATCTAATATTATCATAGTTTCAATTAAAAGACTATGTAAATTTTCTAAACCTGTTCGATACCGTAGTTCATATTCAGTAATTGTATGTAATACTGTAACAATATGTTTTAATTTCTGTTCCTTTTCAAGAGAAGCTATTGCAAGTGCAATTTCATGACCAACTGTTAACCATAACTGAAATTAGAAATGATCCAATTATTTTCAATGTTTAAAAAATTAAGTATTTTAAATTACCAGTCTTACCATTTTCTCATTGTCTAAAATTTTACAAAATGTATTTTGATATAAATCATTGTAATAAGAACTACAATTTCCACAAATTGTTTCTAAGCTTTGTAACAGACCATAATTTGATTCTGCACCTATCCACCGTTGAATCCGAGCAAGACTTATATCTCCTTTAATATTTTTTTCAAGTTCTTCAAAAGTTAATATATGTATTTCTTGGTACTAAAAACAATCATTTTATTTAAAATAATAATTATATATATATATAATAACTAAACATACATATATATATAATAACTTAAATTACATATATATATAATAATTATATATATATAATAATAACTAAACATATTATATATATATAATAATAACTAAACATACCTTGAGATATGGAAACTTTTCTATTATATTTCGTGCAAAATCATACTCTGAATTTATTAAAGTTGTAATTATTGCTTGTTCAGCTAAAGATTTACTAAATATTTCATCATTGCATAAAAAAGCAATTTCAGCTGCTGTTATTAATGTGGCTGCATCTTTACGGCGAGCAAGATATTTTACAGTATCCAAAAATGCTCCTAATTTAGCATAACTGAAAATAAAATTATATATTACATAATTAAAAAGTTTAAATAAAAATATAATTTATATGTACATTATATTTTACAATAACTTACATGTATGCTGCTTGTTCAAAATTGCCTATATCTATACTATATTTTGCCCATTGTTTTAATATTTCTATTAGCACTGGATCATCAGATTCAAGTCTACATCTTGCAAGAACATATGCTTCTTTGTATAAATTTGAAGTCTGAAATACTTCTATAGCTTTATAGGTTTTATGTACACAAAGTAAATATGATACTGCTTTATATGGATTGCCTTCAGTTATTAATTGATATGCATATAGTTCGCACATATCTTTCCAAACTCTGCAATACATTATCACTAGATTATTTTTATAACCATTTTAATTACATTTTATAAAATGAATAAATAAAGTTATATACTTCATAGACAGACTAGCTGAAAGTGAAACAAGAAAGTCATTAAGACGTTTCTCTTTAGCAGCTTCCTCTAAATTTTGTTTAAGATTATCGCACCATATATCCATTTCTGTGATTAGATTATGACAATTTTTCTCAGTATGAGTATGTTCTATAGAATGATAAAAAATAAAGCAAATATAATATATCAATAAATCACTATAATATTTTATTTTAATAATAGAAAACTTACTTTCATTATTTAAATGTGATACAAAATATTCTTGTGTTGAAAATAATATTGGTATCATATGATAGGAAGTATCTGTCTGAATATCTTCCAGATCAAAATTTTCACTTTTCATACTTTTTATAATATTTATGAGAGACTTAAGTAAAAGTGGTTTTTGAGCTGTTGTGTTTATACATTTTGAAAAGTATGATCGTACGTTTTTATTTTTTACCTCTGTCATCATCATTGTCTTTGACTCTGAAAAAGTTGATGTTTGTTATTTATACTATAATAACAATATTAATATTATATTATCAATATCGTTATACTTTGTGTAGTTTTGGAAACATTTGAAGTAGAACATCCCGCAGTAGTATTAGTTTCTAATAAACTATTTTCAACAGAAGTATTAACAGTCCCACTTGTTTCATTTTGTTTTTCTTTTATTTTACGTAATTTTTGTAACATTTTACTTTGTGACGAATAGTTAGTAAGTTTCCATACTCGTATCGTGAAATCAACAGAACCTGTTATAATAAAATTAGGATCTAACGGGCTCCACATGCAACATAATACTGGACCATTGTGTTCTGAGTATATAGCTATTAATTCTTGTGTTTCAACATTCCATATCTAGAAAAAGAATATTCATGTATACTTATCTAAAAGATATTTGAAAATGATATTTAAATACTTATATATATGTATATATATATACATACTTGTGCAGATCCATCATAACTACCAGATATTAGCTGTCCACTTATATGTGGATTCCATGCTAAACAAACAACAGTTTTTATATGTCCAATTAAAGTAGCTACAATTTCATGCACTTTATAAATATCACACTTATCATTGTTAGTTGAATCTTCCATTTTTTTTAAATAGTCCATAAAATTAGATAAATCAAAAATAAGTATATTACATGATTCAAAACTAACAGCTAAGTAATTTTTTAATGGAGAAAATTTCAAGTCTGTTGCTGTACTCTCAGGATGCCAAGCTAAGCAATTCACCATTTCTGGAGAAAATTTGGAGCATCCACGTGTTTCCAATTTTTTATTAAGAAATAAAATTGTTCTAAAAACAAAAAAATCTTTTTTTATGAATATCATATAACATATAACATATTCAAAAACATACCCATTCTCAAGTCCTACTGCTAAGCAAGAAAAATCTGGTTTCCAAGAAAAGTCTGTACATTCTTTTTTCAATACAGATTTTGCCTCTAATTAAAAAAATATTATAATTTTATAGCAAATACAGTATAATAATAATATTGAAATCATTTATTAATTAGCAAATACAAAATGTTACCTTGAGTTTTAACTTTTTCTGAATCATAATACACAAGCTCTCCCTCTCCACAGGAATACAAAACAAATTTATTTTCTAAATTTGGACCCCAACCAATAGTACATATTATCCCTCTATGATATTGTCTATACAGTACAGGTGCTTTATTTGTGTTTATATGAAATAAACCAACTCGACCTTCATCAGTTCCGTAGGCCAATAAATTCTCTTTTTCAGGATGCCATGCTATCTATTAATTATGTTAACATAGTTATATTAAAACATTGATTTTTATAATCTAAAAACGTATAAAAAATAAACTTTATTTATAAATAAATCTTTTTGAAATTATTATACAATTCTTACAGCGCGGATTTTCCCTTTAATTCTTTGCCACAAAGTATATATATTAAAATTAGTAGCATGTGCTTCCGATAAATTCCATAATCGTAACATTGCATCTCCAGCACCAAATGCAATATATGAAGTCTCTGATGGGCAAGCAGCAATGCAATAAACATATCCACCTTGTGTAAATATATTATAATGTATTTCAACATTATTTTCTTCTATTCGACAACAAATAATTCTTCGATCTTGTGCCAAAGTCCAAATTGTATGTCTACAATTTATCAAAAATATTTCAGTTTACAATTGCTTCGTAATCAAATTTAATTATAAATTTATTAATAAGGACCTTCGTTTTATTGTCCAATCTTGCTCTGAAATATCTTGCAAATGTGGTTCATGTGCAATACAAAACAATCCCCTAGTGTGATGTGCATGTATTAGTTTGACAACAGGTTTGCCTTTTATTATTGTTGATAAATCCCAAGAAATTAATTCACCCCACAATGAACTTGTTAATAATAGTTTAGGTTCTATCCAATGAACTACACCCCAATTACCTACAGAAGTATTTATTCTACTTTTATGATTAATAGTACTAAAAGATGATAGAGGCAATGAAATTGTCATTTCATAACGTCCATCTCCGCCAGCTTTCCAAATGAAAATTGTCCTATGCATTGCAATTTTAAAACATATATACTAAAATTATAATTAAAAGCACATTTTAAATTTTTATTACATTTTTTTTTAATTACCTCTCTTTTCCTCCTGAAGCTAACAATAAATCTTTATTTGGATTTTCACTCAGAACATTATTCTCTGAGGGACACCATGATAAACTAACTATTTCAGTATCATGTCCTCTAAGTTTATAAACTATTTTTCCCCTATCTTGAAAATTAATAATATAAACTAAACCACTCTTTGTGCCTGCAGCTACAAGATGTGATTGATGGGGACAAGAAGAAATACAAGTAGGTATTGCTTTCCCTAATGAAATGGAGGAAATAGTATCAAAATAAGCATTCCATGATAATACATAACCATCAGACGTTGCTATATAGATAATATAAGCTTCTTTACGAGACCATTCTACGCTTACTGCTTGTTTAGTCTAAAATTAAAAAGTAGTTTAATTTACTCACTATAAATTTATGATATACATATATTAATACAAGTACTTACATTTTCTAAACAACAAGTATAAATATCATATAATGTGTCAGAATCCCATATTTTAATTATATTATCATCTCCTGTAGAAGCCATTAAATTAGGATTTACTTCTTTTAAATTAGGAGTAAATGCAAGACATGTCACCCTAGATTTGTGAGCATGTCTAATAATGAAGTAATGTAATATTTTATCAAGTTCATCAAATTTAGCAATAACAATCGAATTTCTAGCACCCCATGCTGTAATGCCAGTAGAAGAGCAAGCAAGGATATTATTTAAATACCAATTTGGAGATGGTGGTAAAGTTACTTGGTTCATTTTTACCACCTGAAATGTAATTGAAAGATAAAGAACATTGACTAAGATCAAATGTTTATTGTCTTAAGGTTATGCGGTTTTTATTTGACATTGACATTAAGTAGTTTCAAACAACTATAACATGTACTACAAGTACATATATATATATCTGTGTAAATGTACATTTTTTATAAATTATTTAATGTTTAGATCATATGAAATAAACTTATAACAAAATATTTTGTCGACTTTAACGAAATGTATGAAACACGTGTGTACTTACCTTAAAGGATATACTTTTTTATTAAATTTATGTCTTTTTAAATCAATATTTTATTTACGACCGTTAAATAATATTTCAAAAATCTATTAAAAGAATTACAATAATAAAAAAGTAATGAATATTCTATATCACCTAGCCTATCATAGTTTTATATATATGTATATAAACTATCGTATGGAATTATTAGTATAGATTTATTTACTGTCTGAACAATTGGCAATTAAACGATTAAAATAAATATTTTCATATATTTATGTTGGTCATGCAAAAATTTTATGAAAAAGGTTTATGAGAAAACGAAGGACATTTAGATAAGTATATCTAAAATTTTTATAAATATAACCTCAAACATAGACAATCATAATTGTATTTCTCTAAAAATATTTCTCTAAAATAGATAAATATTATCTGATATTCGTGAATTATAATCGTTAAAATAGAATCCAATTGCATTTTTGTATTTTATACTTAGAGATATAGAGAATAATTTAAAATATATTATAGTTCTGAATTAAAAAAATATGTACTAAATATATATATATATTTATATAAAATATTTGTATTGTTAAAATTTAAAAATGTCTATGAACTTCAAGATAGTAATAAAAGTTATTAAAATTTAATAACTCAAAATAGTGAATGAAGATATAACAAAATAAATACTTTTTAATACTTCTTATGTAAAAAATTTATTTTAAAAGCAAGTGACTCATCAAAAATTATAAACTATTATGTACAATATTTCGAATAATTTATTTTCGTTCTCGACATAAGATACGGTATATAGGACAAAATATTTTATTCAAAATATGAATATCAAAATTATGGATTTTAAGTTAAATGAAAAAAAAGTCAAGTATAATTTATAATTGTATAATTTAAAATAAATTAGTGAATTAATTTTTTAACGTTGAAATGGACCATGAGCGTTGATAAATGAATCACTAAGTGTGACTAATATATGTCTAGAACTCATTTATAGTGATAAAAATCAGTGTTAAATAGGATGACAAATATAATATTTCATCTTTAGGCAAAGAAATCTGAGTGACAAGTATCACACGTCTTCATACGTTTCAAATAAAGTGTATTATATAAAGTTCCTTTTCTTATATTTTCTTTCAAAATATTCTCTCTGCTTCATTATATTCCCAAAATTATTAAAATGAAAGATCAGCTTGTCATATTTTTATCATTATGTGCTGTTTCTTCTGCGATTTCGTTCGATTTTAGAAAATTATTTCTTCATAATAAAAAACCGAATCCAAACAACGAACTCAATACAGTAAGTAGAATTACATTTTTTAGTTTATTAATTTTTTCATTATAAAATATAAAAGAAAATTAGTTTCATTTAGGTAGCATACGTTGTTTTATTTGTTCATAAATGTAAATAATATCCAAACGTGCGCAAAATATTTGAGAAAATAGACTTATTATCTAAAAGCGTGCTTATCTTTTACTTTTTTTCTTACCGTTTCTTTACAAAGATTTGTAATTATTATCATTAAAAGATAATTGTTAGTAAAGTGATCTAAACGAAGAAGTTTCCGTTTTATTACATACCTTAATTTTTTTAATACTTGTAAATTGCAAAACATGTTATGTTTCTTAATTATTACATGAACTTTTATATGTACTTTTTGTTAAATAAATATTTGAAACATAGTTATTGCATTAACACGTTTAATGCGTGGTTGTTAGCAGAGTTTTTTTACGGCATAACACAATTTTAGTAAATAGTTCAAAAGATATAATATAAGATATGTACATATGTAATGGAGTAAATACTGTTAATTTTAAGTAAAAAAATTTTATTACACTAAAAAATTATTCTTTAATTTTTAATCTATAATTTGTTACAATATAATAAATATTGATAAATATTACAGTTAACCAATTAAACAAAATACATATATTGTAGCAATTAACAACGTCAAATGTATCATAATTTAAGCTGTGTAGATTTATTAAAAATAATTTTAATTGAAGTGACGATAATGACGATAACTAAATTTAATTGCAAGTTCATGAATAAAAATTCATCAATATTAATTTGAATTATTTTATTTTAGCTGCAGATGATAAGAAGAGAGGGTTATCCAGCTGAAGCTCACGTAACGTTAACGGAAGATGGTTATCTGTTGACGATGCATCGCATTCCAGGAAAACCTGGATCTCCCGCGATTTTCTTACAACACGGTGTATTAGGTAGCTCTGCAGATTGGGTTATGCTTGGGAAAGAAAAAGCTCTCGGTATAAAAACAACTTTTTTTCTATATAAATTCCTCTATATAAATTCTAATTCTAATTTTTATTTTATATCATAATTATTTCCTTTTGTTATAGCTTATTTATTAGCCGATCAGGGTTACGATATATGGCTTGGAAATTTTCGTGGTAATACATATTCAAGAGCGCATGTGTCCATATCTCAGGAAGATTTAAAGTTTTGGGACTTTAGGTATTTGTAAAAAATAATTATTGACAATAATTGAAAATATGCAAAATGATGATATATCATATACAAGTAATTAGGAACAAATTTTAATATACTGATCATAATAATTTAAATAAACAAAATTATGCTATATATAATGGTATAAGCATATTTTCATGGAAATGCAAATTATAATTTATTTTATAATTTTACAATAAATTGGTTTAGTTGGCATGAGTCAGGTATCTATGATCTACCGGCGATGATCACTTACATCGTAAAATTAAAGGAAAATTTTTTGAAAGCGTATATTGGATTTTCAATGGGTACAACATGTTTCTATGTTATGGCTAGTGAACGGCCGCAAATAGCAAGACTGTTGCAATCAACATACAGTCTTGCTCCAGTAGTGTTTATGGAACATGTAACAAGTCCTTTACGGTATTTAGCTCCATTAGCAGATGATTATAAGGTAAAAAAAAGTATAATAAATAAGTAACTTTTTCAATGCAACACCTCAATTTTTACTGTAACATTTTCATATTGATTTTCAGGTGATCTTCTCTCTATTTGGTGAGGGTGAGTTTCTACCGCAAAATTATGTTGTAAAATTCTTATCAAAATATTTATGTATCGCTCAATTTTGGGAGGAAAGAATTTGTGTTAATTCACTGTTTGTTCTTGTTGGATTCGACAGAGCGCAATTTAATTATGTAAGTATACAATGGATAATGTAAAAATCTGCTACACTCTCGATCATTGCAGACGCTGTTGCCTGTAATTTTGAACCATACACCGGCTGGTACATCTTCTAAGACCTTGATCCATTATGCTCAAGGAATAAAATCTGGAGAATTTAAACAATATAACTATGGCGCGAAGCGAAATATGGAGGTTTATAATAGTAGTGAACCACCTAAGTACAATTTATCAAAGATTACAATGCCGATTACATTGTTTTGTGGTAATAATGATTGGCTGTCTAGTCCTATTGTACGTATTTCGAAAATTAGTAGAATATTTTTTTCTATTTTTTATTATAATTTTTTATTTTTTTTTAGGATGTGATGCAATTAAGCAACGAATTACCAGAAAAACCAATTATTTATAAAGTGCCATTTGCGAAGTTTAATCACATAGACTTTCTTTGGGCTATAGATGCTTTTGAACTAGTCTATAAAAAATTGCTTGATATGCTGAACTAGTCTCTGCGAGATACCAAAAATATATAATAGACTTAAATATTATTTACTATATAATGTATACAAAAAGATATATTTGTAGAATAAAAAGTATCTCATTATATATATTTTGACTTTTAATACTTTTTATTATTTTTATTTGTTATTTATGATAAAACAAAAAAAATTTAATGTAAAATAAATACATATTACAAAAATAAAATTTAAATTTCACAAAAATAATAAAATTTTATTGTTAAAATATCAATATATCTCATAAATCTTAAATAATAAATCAGAAGATCAAAAGTTTTTCAATTCATTTGTCCCAATATTCTTTATTTCTTGTACGGAATACTTGGAATGTGTAAATGACTTTGGACGTGAATAATTTGATCAGCCGATCGGTTCAGTGGTGCATCCTGAATATTAACCCAACTTAGGCATTTGGCGTCCACCGTTGTTACGTAAAAAGTATTGATGTCATAATCTACAAATTGGCCCACAAAGCCATGGCCTACTTGGTAAAAATTTCAGACAAATTTCTATTCCACACAACAAAATATTATATTGATGTATCGAATAATAAACTAATTTCGTAATATTGTTTCAACTGTTTGATTTTAGTTAATTTATTGATATTCATTATCATTCAAATTGACAAATGTCGTTTGTTTCTTTCTTCTTACGAAAATGTCAGATAAAGGTAAAGATTATTTTCAAGGCAGTTCCAGAGCATCTACAAGCATTTTAAAAATCCATGTCGATAGATTCTGTTAATGATTGTGTAATGGAAAAACACTGATGGCATCCGTGGGTCCCTCAGGGATACACCAAGGATGTGACTTTACATATGGGTTTTGGATTTTGTTACGCGTATGTGGACAACATCTTTATTGCATCATATTTTTTGTCATTTGAAGCAGGGGATCGTTGAAGGAACAATCTCCAATCACGTTTGTTTCCTGAAAAAAATGGTTTTTCAGCTTTTAGAAAATTTTTTTAAGAAAGTTGTCCCGTAACAGCATTGTCCAAGTCAAAAGCCATAAAATTTGTTGAATAATTTTTTAGAATTGAACAATTTGAAACTCGGAATGAAATGAAATCAAAATCATAATACTGATGTATACTGATCACGTATCGATTCAACAACAAAAGAATCGTATTAAAGCACATACATATATTGTGATTTATGAATGCACGTACTAAGTGGCTTATTATAACATATAATACCGTTTATAATCGATCGGCATGTTGATTAAGTAACCATAAACGACATAATGAACTTTGTTCTAATTATATGGTTGCTACTTAAGTTAATAAAAAAAATATGATTTTCTGGAAATTTATTTTCGAAATAATTAATTTATTTGATTTGTACAATCTTGTACAATATACTACATATCTTATAAAAGAAATATCAACCTCATTTCACAAAGTATTGAATTATTTTATATTTATGAGTCAAAGAATGATTTATTCATAAAAGATTAGTCAAAGCGAGCTAGTGTTACCAGTTATAAATGAAATTACCTAGCTAGTTTATCGAGTTCGATTATTACGCATCGACCATTAACTCCACATGTCATTAATATTTACAAACCACAAATCGTCATATAACAAGTCGTGCTATACGTGCAAATCAGACTGTAATTCACAATGAAAATTCGTTACACTTCTTCATATTTAATTCTATATTTAGCTGTGTTTTTTCCTTTAGCTGTGTCCTTAGCATTGATCGTAGTCATTGCATGGAACTTCTCTCTATGACTACATTTATTTTTTTAAATATGTTCGTATTACTGAAATGATATAATAACATTTAATAAAAGATTACATTTTTTTACCTGTTTCTGAGCAACTAACAACATAGATGACGTGCTATTACACTTGTTAAACATAATTAATAATAATGGAATATTTTTACGTGGAAAGATACCATATTTATGAAAACATTTTTTACAGCGGACGGTTGTTAGTATAAGCGGTTGTCAGATTCGCCATTTCGCTGAAACGAAGGATTCGATATTTCATTAGAATCGCAGAATTCTGCAAAAACTCATTAAAAAAAAAGGCAACAGAAAAAATTGTGAACGTAAAAAAAAGAATCAATATTGAACCTGTGCTTGCGAACAAACGAGCAGAAGACGGCAGACAACGAGCAAACAAAAGGATTTTCATCGTACCATTAGGATCAGGCCGTGCACGAGCAAAGTCGCGAGACACGCACGTGCGTGCGTGGTTGGTCGTGCGCTTGCGTTTAGCGGTGGCTCCGCGTGCGGTGAGGCGCGGCTGGTAATGAAGAAAAGCCATGAGCCGAAGGAACAAAAGGAGCAGAAGGTGAAACAGGAGGAACAGAAGCGAACTCGACGCGAAGGTAGAACACGCGTGTACCGTGCACTTGGTGTACCGTGTACCGTGTATATCCACACATAAGGGGAGAGAGAGAGAGAGAGAGAGAGGGAGAGAGAAAGAACAGAGACAGGAAAAAAGAAAGACAGAGAAACAGATACAGAAAGAAGGAGAAAGACAGGAAAAAACAACGAGCACGACTGTCGAAGCCTCGCACTCGAGAAGTCTTCGCGAGTCCGGCGAACCGACACACACCGCTCACCAATTCCAAAGTCCGCCGGTAGGCTCAGTTGTCTCCGAACCCTCGAACTGTTCGGATGTAGATACTTTGTAAACATCATTTACGTTTCTTCTGCACTTTCGAAACTCGTTGGTTTCGCCGTTGCTCGTTGCTACACGCCCGTCGCTTTTGAAATTGACTTTGCTCATTCGTTTTTCGCGGTCTCGTGCGGTGGAGTTCGATCTTGGAAGAACCAACCAAAAGATAAACAAATAAACAAATAGAAAAAGAAAGAGAAGAAAAAGAAATTCAAACACGACAACGCGTCTTTCTTCACGGAAGGAAACACATAGACGGAGGGAAAAGTGTCTGCCCGTAGCCAAGAAACATTCATATCTCGAGAATCGTTACTCCTTTCTTTCTTTTCTCCCGTTTCGATTTTCCCGTTCGGTTCAAACACGTCCGATCGCGTGCAGCCGATTAGAGAAACGTGGAAAGGAGGAAGAGCGCTGGAGCGGCGAAGAAATCGGAAGAAACTCGAGAAGGAGGGAAGAAAATCTCGCGAACGGACCAACGATTCAACACCGTTAACACGTAAGCAAGATATCTTTTTCTTTCATTCCTTTTCCCCCGTCGAGCTTTGTTAAGATCGTACGTGGAAGTTACCATTAGATCGATCAACCTTTTTCTCGTTACGATCGTTCCGACGTTATCGATCGTTCGCTTGTTGCTCATTTTTCGATTGGCAAAAGCGAAGGTATATCGCGAACAGGTATACACGCGCAAGCCATGGCATGCACATGTACAGTTATTTAATATTTATCACTGGCGACCTCATTTATTTTAAGTTATCGGGTATCGGTATTCTGTTCGAGTCCACGAGTTTGCGCGCGTCATCGAAGCAACCGTGGAAAAAGCTGATGCGAGAAATCGGATACAAACGAAAAATAGTGGTCTGCCAAAGGCAGAAAGTGTAACGTGAAATCGTTGCCGATATATATGCCTACAATGCCGCGTGACATGCTCCGTAAAAGCGAATTTAAAGATCCCGGGGAAACGGTTCACTGGCTGCGCATGTGTGCGTCAGGCCGAAAGCCCGTGACTCGATACATTTGTGATCTATATTAATTTACCGCAAATCCATCGTGTTCGCTTGATTTCCGTGGATTACCGAATTCAAACGCGGATAACGGTAATTCGTAAAGAGGAAATGGTACAGCGGGTATTTGGCTCAATGAACATGAAATGAGTTTTCATCGAAACTTTTTATGTTATGGGCCTATCTGTATTTTACCGCGTCTTGATGGCGTGTAAAGTAGTGACATCGTTGTCCAATCAGACGAATATTCTAGAATATAAACATTGCGCGTTTCGTGGGAATACTTGAATTTGAAATCTGTGTTCGGCGGAACAGTAGCGACATCTTCTTAATTCAAATACGTACAATTGCGAGTTGGGTAATTTTGTCAGTTGGTTAAATAGTTATGTCGTGGATTTGTTGTTGGGATTTGGTTGAGATTTGAGGTAGATTTCATAATTTGGAAAATGTAGAAGAAGAGTAGTGTCACAAATGTAATTTAAAATTTATCTCGGAATTCACGATTACTTATGTGATGTCTCCACGACAAATCAACTTCTGCAAGTAAGTCATTTCTTCTTTGAGATATTATATCGTAATTCATTCAAGCGAAAAATTAAAGTAACTTAATCGTGAAATTTATCTACATTTATGTCGGGTATTTACAATTTTTAAACGGTTGGTTATTTGTCTCGCAATTTATTCAGGTTTTATCGTGTAAGTTGAATGAATCAAATGAGGTGTGAAGGATCATATGAAGATAAGATTAGTGCGGTTGATAAGAGGTTAGGATTTAAATAACACGATTTGAAAGAGAAATAGATAGAAAATGAATAAAGGAAATTAATTTAGATTCGTTAAAAGTATAATATAAAATGTATAGCAAAAGATATCAAATTTAAAAACATATCGTTTAATCAAAGTAATGATGTATGATCCTACATTTATATAAAGTCGTAAAAATTAGAAATTCCAAGTTCAATGACATTTGGAAGCGTGTGCAGGTATGATCTATTTTTAAATAATTAAAAAAAACATAGCACGTGTTACTTATATAAATTTAAGGCATACATAATATATTGAATGATGAATATTACCAAGACAAGTTAATTTGAATATATTTTAATAAACATTAGTCATTTTGTGGAAGAAAATAATTATTAAGTTAATGACGCCATCTTTTAATTAAATTTAATTCTTATAATGACAGAATTTTTTTAAATTTAATAAATTAATTTCAATTATAAATCGATCTTGGTCCTTGAAAATGTAAATAAAATATAGTTTATTTTCAAAAATAAAACAAACGCACGTAAGAAAATAGTCAAATTAGTTCGTCTTCTCTATTTAATAGATTTAATAGCAATCGAGAAGTCAACGATAAAATATATATAAAGTTTTAGTTTCACTTGGTAAGTTGTTGCAAAACACAATCAACATTGATGTATTAAACATATTGAATGTTGTATGTATACGTTGGCTGATTTATCCCTTATATGTAAATGTCGGACTATGAGCTATTTTACTCGGAACAGTCATATTTCCTTGCAACTAATATACTTATGTTATCCTAATATATCTATTTCTAATTGTTTGTGACACAGAACAGAAGAATGAAAATGAACAGCGGTAAGAGTTAGCGTTTCTGTTAGATCTGTACTGAATTATCTTTATAAACTACGATTTTAGACAAAATATCAGAATCGGAAGAGATTGAAAGTCAATAATTTTGTCGTTGTTTTTTTATTTTTTGGTCAATTTAGTGAAGAGAAAGACAAAAAAGAGAATGATGAGAATTTGTGATTTGAACATGATAGAATTAAGCTTGTGTTTTTCGTGTTATTATACTTTGACGATATTATAGACATAGAGATATGAAAGACGTGAAAATTATTTGTTTAGTACCAACTGAAAAAACAAAATAGTTTTGCAGCACCAATAGTAGCAATGCATAATATCTACTTAAAACTTATTAGCGCAAAATGATTTTGAATAGAATGTTGATATTTTTGATTGAAGCGATTCGTACTCTTTCATCATCATAACAAATATATTCTTATATTTTAAATGTAATTTCTAACAATGTATTTCTTTCGGTGTAATAATTAAAAAAAAAGAAAAAATGAAATTCAAGTAGACGATTGTTTTTTCTACTAAATGTTGGAAAGAACTCTATATTTTGGATGTTCTCTATATTTTTGCATATTATGTACATTTTTACATTTTAAAAATTTATCATAAATGCATAAAAATTCGCCTATTACTTGTTAGTGAAAACTAATTAGTACCTACTCTATATATTTCCTTACATTATTTTCCGTACAAAGTCTGACCAACTTCGATTAGTCGGTATTTACTTCAGTATCGTAATCTCATTGTTCGAACGAGGACTTTTGTAAAAGTCTGTGCAGCCAATAAAAATAAAACGCACCGTAGTCAGGTAAAGAGATTACATTTTGCAAACCTCAATTGATCAAAATCTACTTGCAACATCGAGCTTTTCATTTCATTAAGTCATTTCTTCCAATTCTTTGATTTCACAAGTTCCCGTCTTCAGTTCTTTAAACAAATTTTCCAAACCAACTATGACGCCTATAGTTACAAATAACGGAGCTTTTAACTTGATTTCTCTCTTTGGAAAAAAAAAAAAAAGAAAAAAAATGGATCAAATATGACTGAAGAGATCTCGTCGTGTCTATAACATTCGAGCAGATATCGGCAGGTCTGGCAGGTGTATTTGTGGACACCCGCGCTTCTGTTGAAATTTCAGCAGTGCGTCTGGTAACGCGACTTTCGATCGAAAGACAATCGTCGTTGCACTATCGTAATACTGAGAGATCGTAACAGCGAGACACTGGTGTGTAGCATAAAGGCTGCATAGTAGACACGCTTACGCCTTGGAGCATTTCGTTGTGAAACGATTGAAGCATTTACGAGTCGATCGTTCCACGAGGACTTTCTAATCCGTCGTATATGTATACATATAGGGTGTCTCACAAGGTGTGCCGCGAATGCTGCGAGTGACAGATTCCTGCGTTGAAAACACGACGACTCGCGTCGCTTTTTTTCGCGACGATCGCGCACTTTTCAATCGCGATCGAACCTGTTTTTCAACTGGACGATCCAACGTCCAATATGAAATACGTGCATTTCTTTCTTCACAAATATCACGGGTAACGTACATACACATACGCACACATAGATTTATGATATGGAAATCCGGTAATTCGCGCTGCTTTTTCGCGATTGTTTCTGGTTCTTTTTTTCTTTTTTTTTTTTCGTTTCTTTTCTGCTAATGGCCTTAGATTTCATTTAAGAGGACGTTAACATAGACGAAACGTAAAAATTTATGTTGTCACAATAAGTAAATTGTCCTTTTTTTTATTAATCTTTTGAATTGTTATCACATGTAAATACGTGAAAATTCCATTGACAAACACGAAAAAAGAAATTATTTTAGTAGATATTAATTTAACTAGTTGACGTTAATTTAAATTCAAGAAAATTAATTCAGAAAATTTATCATTTTTTTTCCCCGTGTACCTTCATATCCCCAGAAATGCATAACAATCTATAATTTAACAATAAATGATTTTTGAATCGGTGATAATTGGATTTTTTCGCTTCGTTGGAAGTACAACAATTTCCACAAACGTTCCTCGATTATTATCATCGATGTTTGTGATTCTCGCGGATTATAAATGTTTTAATCGAAAGCGCGAGAAGTCGCGTAAATTTCAAATTGCGTGACGAATATTTTATAGTCCTTTTAAATGATGAATGAACCTGTTTTTGGACTTGTATTTAAGGCGCGTTCGAAATACGCGAATGTTTCGCATGCACGATCTTCCTGACAATGTATGCACGTTCATTTATTCGAATGTGTCAATAAAGGTGTTCGATGCGAAACGAACTTGCACATGTCTTCAGGAATGCGGTACACGTAGAGTGCTATTCAGATAAAAAGTATTTTTCAATATAGCGTATAGCGGTTGAGTTTCTCCAAATTTTTATCGCGTATGGCAATTCGAGACATACATACATACATGCATGTAAGATTAATGATTGGGATTATTTGATTTTGGTATTGACTTTTACCGCGTCCTTTGGCATTATTTACTTCTACAAATTCAAAAAAGATGCTGAATTTCTCAAGTATTTATATATAGCGATGAATAAAAGTATTGGCATAGATTGACGTTTCTTATAAAATCCTGCGTAAATTTGATCTTTTATTCAGTAGACAATTGAAGACTCGTCGATTCTCCTATGGATTTCACAGTGAACTGAAATCTTTCTTTTTCGTTTCGTAAAAATAGTTTGTTACTATAGTATCTTTATTATTTCTCTACTTATTTATATTTTACACAAAGTCAGATGAAAAAAGGATTCTATGTTTTACAAAACTTCAAGCAAGATGTTAAAGGAAGACCTGATCTCCGCTACTATCTTTATTCGCCATTGTAATTGTACAATCTCTTACAAATTATATAGAATTCTTTGGCTATGATTTCAA